CGACTCGTACTCCGAAGACCGGCGAAGCGCATTGTCGTGCTCACCAAGGAGTCGCCTGATGGCGACGGCGGGAGAAATGTGCACGACGGCAATATTAGGTCGCGAGCCGCCCGCGACGTGTTCCGAACGTGTCCGAACCATGACGAAAAGGCAAGTTCAGACACGAACATCAAAGGCGGGCGGCGGCGATCCTTTGTTCCGCGCCGCCGCTGCTTGGTTTGAACTTGCCTTTGAGCATGTACAAACATGACTCAACGTCGCAGAGCGGCCGAGTCGCGTGCCCCGATCAACAGGAATTATCCTGTCCGCGCGCCTCGCATATAAAAGGCCTGTACCCGGCGAGGCGCATCAGTTGTCAATGAGTCGTCAATGAGTTATCAATGTATTGTCAGTGTATGTAGTCGTTATGTAAAAAGTCGATCATAGCCAGTCGATCGTAATATTGTCAATTTCATCTCCACTAGTGTTGTTAACATTATCATCGTAATAAAGAATATCAGTGTACAAGAGTTCTCCAGTTTCATTATACAGTCCACTTGCTCTCCACAAGGACCTAGCTCGTCGAGGACTGATCCACAGCCTGATCCCTCCGAGCCCGTACAGAGTGGACACCTACAGTCCCCACTCCCACAGATGGGGCCCAATAGTTGCTGTTGCCGATTCGGAGTCGCGGAGAACCTAACGGGTAACCGGGGCTCCGGCTAGACGTGCAGGAGAAGGAACGGGGTGGTTTTTAGTCAGTAAGAATCGACACTCCCTTCCGCCTCACCCAGGCGGGAGCAGACATTCGAGGATTTTCCCTCCTTAAAAAAAAAAAAAACAGTCCCCACTCTATGCACCTGTTAGGGGCCGTTCAAAATTTACATAAGCAGATTTTTTACAATTACTTACCTCCCCACCCCCCTTGTCAGCAAAAGTAAGCAAAAATCTTACCCCCTCCCCCTTTGCTTACGTAAATATTTTAAATGATATCTTTTTTATATTGTAATTTTAAACATTCTCCAAATACAATAATGTCTCGTTCTTTGTCGGTCTTTGCTTTTAATTTTTAATTTCAATATGAAGGTTGCCATTCGTGTAAAATAGTAAATAACTACCGATAACGTAATCATCATCTAGACTCCCCTACCCTTGTCGCGGAGAAACCTAACGGGTAACCGGGGCTCCGGCTCGACGTGCAGGAGAAGGAACGGGGTGGTTTTTAGTCAGTACGAGTCTGACACTCCCTCCCGCCTCTCCCAGGCGGGAGCAGTCATTCGATGATTTTCTCCCCTTAAAAAAAAAAGACTCTCCTACCCCCCATATCATCCGAAATAATCAAAACAGAGACCCCCCCACCCCCCATGGTGCTTACGTAATATTTGCACGGCCCCTTACCCCAAAGGTCTGCCTTCAGTGCAGTTGATGGTAATCTTCAAAACAAATTGAAATATCAAGGTCTGGATCTCAAAATATCACACAATACACAATGACAATAAACTGCCAGAGATTTTGTCGTCAATTTCATTCGTTCAATATTTCAAATGACAAACAGTGGGCGACTCATCAAGCTAAACATAACCAGTGTAAATTGACCCTCGAATGTGTGAAAAGATTATACGAAGCGGGACCATATTAAACTGGTTATATATAGCTCGGAGCTCCATGAATCAAGCTACACATATCCAGTATAAAATGACCCTCGAATATGGGAAAAGTCAAACAAACCGAGACCACGATATACTGGTATTTGTAGTTTGTACAATTTGATGGGCAACGTACTTTTGTCCTGTCGAGGTCATTGCACCCGTTCGCAAATCATTGCCAATTTTATCTTGTTTATTCATTTGTATTTTTATGTATATGTTAAGTACGTTAAGTATACCAGTTTATCCTAGAGTGCGCCTATTTATATCAGGATCAACTAGTTTGTCCTAGCCTAAACTGGTTTATCCTATCGGGCTTAGGACAAATTAGTTTGAACTAGGCTATACTAGTTAATCCTAACGTGTATAGGAAGAACTAGTTTAGCCTAGGCAAAACTAGTTTGTCCTGAAATCGGGTTTGGCCGGTAACATATATATAATGTTTTTGTTATGAAGATATCTTATACATACTATATGTACTTATATATAGGTACTACTGCCTCGTTGGCCGAGTGGTTGCAAGTGCGACTGCCTGGTAAGGGGTCTCGGGTTCGATTCCCGGGTCGGGCAAAGTATTACTAGGTTTTTTTAAATTTCTCAGTAGTAGCACGGAGTCTGGAATTGTGTCCGGTATATGGCAATAGGCTCACCCCCTATTACATGGGATTCATAACATAGATAGTGAAAAGTGGGTGTTACTTCTATGTGCACCTCTGCCTATCCCTTCGGGGATGAAAAGGCGTAATGTTATGTTAAATTTGACAAAGATTTAGCCTACATATATTTTATTGGGATTGGGGGCACACGAGTAGACGGATCACTTGATGGTAAGCAATCAGCATTGCCTTTTTTTTTAATGGGGGAAAATCATCGAATTCCTGCTCCCGCCTGGGTGAGGCGGAAGGGAGTGTCAGACTCTTACTGACTAAAAACCACCCCGTTCCTTCTCCTGCACGTTGAGCCGGAGCCCCGGTAACCCGTTAGGTTCTCCGCGACTCCGAATCGGCATCGGCCCTATTGGGCCCCATGACCCCATCTATGGTGGTCTGATGGCTCTTTGAGTTAGTTAGATACGTGTTGATGTTTCTTCTGAAGGTCTTTTTTTAAGGGGGAAAATCATTGAATGACTGCTCCCGCCTGGGTGAGGCGAGAGGGAGTGTCAGACTCTTTTCTTCTGAAGGTAATAACCTCATGAATAAAGGTGTACTTTCGCGAATATTAAAAACTAGCTTTTTTACCCGCGGCTTCGCTCGCGTCACAAAAGGATAAAAGTACCCTATGTGATATACACACAGCGCCATCTATACCAATACTTTCGTTTTCCCTCGGGAATATCAAATTTTTCCGGGATAAAAAGTACCCTATTATTTAATCCAGACTTCTAACTTTGCGTCTGCAAGAATTCAAAGCAATCGGTTTAGTAATTACGGCGTGAAAGCGGAACAAACAAACAAACAAACTCACTTTCCGATTTATAATATTAGTAAGGAAGTAAGGATAAAACCAATTCACAACTTAGCTTATAATAATTATTCGCCCAGCGAGGTGACGGGCATTAGCGACCCCGCGGGCTACCATCATCCCGAGTGCTCCAGGGAGAAGTCACCTATCCCTATTCTCCGGCTTGCCCTAATTGGCTGGCTGGAGTGAACGATGACAAGGAACAGGTCTCCCACCTCTGGCTTGCCTTCATTGGCTGTCCAGAGTGGAGTCGCGAGAGCAGTGATCCTGCTCGGAGGGTAAGAAACTATTCCTAAGTCGCAAGTGGGCCAGGGTTGCAGGAGGCTTCGGCTGGAGCAGATGATCTGAGTAGAAAGCGGTGGTAGTTTCTTAACCCTTCGGCCACTCACATTCTCGTTGCCCCTCTGTTGCTATATCTAGCAACCATTCCCGGGGCCCGGTCGGTGAGTTGGCGAGTCTCCGCCAGCCATTTTTACGTGCAATAATTACATTATTTTATTATTATTTCGGCAGGTGCCATAGTCATCCATAGTTCCCAATTTACCGGTCCACAGCAACCCATCCATAGCCCTACTTTTTTGCCCATTATCCACAATAGTTCTGCACTAACCGGGGGCTGTTTTTGGGTGCATTTCCATAGTGCATACAGGGATAGTCGCCGGTTTGTGTCTCCATTACATTTAGATTAAAGTTGTCTAAAGAGCCTCTGCGCAGTTGGCTTCGGCCCCTCGTACACCTCCCAGATGACCGGGACCCTGTGGTCCCGTGAATGGTAAAGACATAAATAAAAATAATTCAATATAATACCTATGTATGTAAGAAAAGAGATGTCGATATAACCACGTCGATGAATATCTCTGCCTATTCCTTCGCGACCGACGGCACGAAGAATTGAGTTCGGTACAGAATATTCATTCACATGTGGTAGTGCCATCTATTGGATTTATACATAGTTCAAGTTTGATTTCTGTTTACTAGGTGGCACTGTTCTCTATTTCGTTATGTGTAAACATTTTAATAATAAAATTAGGGTTAATTTGATTGTAATTAAAACCGTTTCTATTCTTCGCAGACAGGTCAAACAAAGGTTCTAAGGTCCAGGTTTATCTAATCACTTTATTGGACTAACGGGTTTTTGTAAAGTTAAATAAAATTATTAGGTACATACAATTAAGTTTGTTTAGTTTATTCCTGCGTCTAACTAGCTATTCAGACACTACAAATTATCATAATTATGTAATCTAGATATTTATGTTATTAATTAATTATGTTATCATTAATTTAATCTTGGTGGTAAGCCGCATATATAGGTACCTACTTAAATTTAATTATTATGCATTCACATGACTAACTAATACATAGGCCATATAAAGTAACAAATTAATATCAATAACACAGTGACTAAGTACCTATATTTAAATAAATCCTGGGCTATAAAAGAGGTTCAAGATCAAACCGTCATCAGGCACCTAAAGATATACCTACCTTGGTCATGACTAATATGAAAAAAAAAACGCGGGCTTCAGCCCTAATAAACACGTAAAAACATAGGTTATTACTACAAATACAGTCTTATTACAATGCCCTAAAGTAGTAATTTAGTTACAATTTCTATCATAGAATTCCGCAAATCTTTATTTATCTATCTCATTGCTGATTGGCCGTGGACTTTGTATTTGACGTAACCTATTTTTTTAATTTTTCTATGTTCATATCATGTTAGCATTTTATAATAAGCTAACGTATCTTACGTTCTTTTATACATTTTCGAAATAATTTAGCACGCCGCCTTTTAGTTACACTTAAGTTTTGAGAAAAAATGCTAATGTTTTATTAAAAAAAATATAGATTACTCTATTGTTTTGTGTATGTGGTCTGAAAAGTAGCTCTACTTAGTTTTAGATTTAGCGAAAAATGAAGAAAATTGAGAAAGAATGGACAATTGACGCGAAATGGGGCAAAATTGCAAGTAAGTTTTCTCCTTTTATGTTTATGAAAAGTATTTATTTTGTCAACAAAGTAAAATTGACGTAAAATTGTAATTAAGTAGGCCTCTAGTCTGTACCTTTGCCCATTCGGCCTGTCAATATAAAATATTAACACTATTTCGGTACACGATTTTAGATTTTATTGCTATTCAAATCAAGTAGAAATTCCAATGGGGTAAAATAACTTTTCATTCTGGTACTAGTGATGGGCACGTCAATAACTATAATTAAACGTTATTGTCAAAATGAAAAATAAAACGGCAAAATTAGAGAAGATTATTTTAAACGGCGTGAGAAACGGTTGTCTAATTGATAATTTGTTTAATATTCCTTTATAAACTTCGTTTAAAAAACTTTCTCAGACTCTCTCTTTCTTTAAAGTCTGTTCGGTCGATTAAAACCCTTTCCTTATTTTAGTGGTATCATGGGGAAATCCTGCAAATCCGCCTATATTATTACTGCATGGTTACATGGATACTGCTGCTACCTTCATGTTATTGGTGGACCAGCTTCCAGATGATTATTATTATGTAGCCTTTGATTTGCCAGGTGAGAAAACGATTATAAACTAAATTTGGCCTAATTTTTTTATTCTTGTCGAGTGTACAAACACTTATCTTGTCGAGTTTTTGTAATATTTTTCACGAAGTGTTTTAGAAGTGAAGAAATTCCTGATTATACCTGTTAACAAATATTTTGACCTGACTATGAGTTTTTGCTACTCCTAACGACTATGACAATTCAATGGTGGCTTAATGTCGTCCCCGAGTCTTCGAGACATAATTAAGCACCGATACTTTAATATTAACTCGTCGAGTACCGGTTTTATAGACACAATTAAAGAACAATAGGTCGCGGTCACCGGTGACCGCTTGGTGTTTGACAGTTTAAAGCAATAAACCGAATACTCTTTTACAGGTCATGGCAAATCGGATCCCTTTCCTCCAGGTGTTGTTGTGTCGAAGATAAACATGGTAGAACCAATTAGATTAATTGTAAAATATATGAAATGGGAGAAATTCGCATTTATGGCACATTCCATGGGCTTTGTTATAGGTGAGTGAATATATTTAGCACTAAGTATAACCATTTCATTATATTATTCGGCCGCATCAAGACAAAGACTATCACCAGTAGAAAAATATTATTATTATTTTTTCAATAATTTTTGTCATTATCAATCTCAATCATTATGAATATGACATAATTTTATTTCTTTGTAGGTATTGTCTACAATCACATATTTCCTGGCACAATTACGAAAATGGTTCATTTGGACCCAGCTGTAGCAATAGCATCGTATTATTATCCCCACTATAAGCTGTCCGTTTGGCAACAATACCTTTATGACATGTATTATAATAACTATGAAAGGTAAGTTACTCAGTGAATTCTTTATTTCCCGATAAATAGAATAGGTAAACAAAGAGAATAAATACGCACACTTAAAATTCAAAAGTATAAAAATCTCACTTATCTCTATATTTATAATGTTATGCACAATTTGCTAAGAGGGTAGAGCCACATAGGGAATGATGTATTATGTCTATTTATTAAAAATATCGAAAATCTAACCCGAAACCCTTTGCACAGCACTCTTCCGAATACTCAATCAATGAGGCGGACAACTTATGAAAGTGCATAGAATCCATGTTGTTATACAGATAACTCGTAATATAAAACTTCTTTTTTCAGTTTCATAACTGGCCCTAATAAGACTTTGACCCTCGAAGAAGCAGTTGGTCTTTCCGTCCGTAACAGAAATATAACAGAAGATCAAGCTGAAATCATTCTATCTAGATCATTAATCCCAGCTGGTGACGGTAGATTCAGGTGGGTTTAAGGAAAACAAACGTTATCAAATCATATAAAAAAATCGTTTATTAGTCATTGAAGGCTAAAACTAAAATATCTTAAAATTGTTTATTTTCAGATTATCCTGGGAACCCAGAATGAAAAAAATAGCTACCATACCTATTTCAGAAGAAACTTTTTTTACTATTATAACCGAAAATGCACCACCGACGCTTATTATTGAAGCTTCAGACGGTGCACAGACAGGTATTTGGACCTAAAAGTTGGCCAAAAATATTTGGTACGCCTAATGGTTGTCAAACGATGTTTTATTTAAGTTTTAGCTTGGAAAAGGTAAAAAAAAAGCGTATGTAACATATACAAGCATTTATTCTTCATTTTTGTCGTCTTCATCAAAACTTAAATTTAAAACGTCACTTTCTAGTAACAAATTTAAAACATCAGCCGAAAGTGACACATTTTTTTTATTCTTCCTCTTCCTCATGCCCGTCAGGACAGGGTCGGAAGTTAAGAGGAGCCTGTTAGAAACATCTGCGTTGCAGGCTATCCGGGAAAATTTTCGGGCGTAGTTGAGCCGGAACATCCTAATGTGTTTGTTGCGGCTTCTGCCGCTTCTCGGACAGTTGTCTAATGGAAAGAATTGCTTCTCTTACCACTGAAGCCCATGACGCAACACTTTATGCAATGTCGGAGACATTGGGTAAAACTTATACAAAGAAACGTACAACTTTGCCGTTTCTTGGCAATATCTTTCAAACATCTCGCAGTTTATTTTTAAACCACAGCACAATGTGTCCAAAATCACTTTTAATCTATAAATTAAATTTACGTCTATCCCCGTAATTGTCGCTGATACTTCGAAATTTTCAAAAAAACGTCTGCTAGTGTTTCCGACATGGTATTTCCAAAGTTGGCTTTTGGTATATCCACCAACAGACCGAGTTTCTCCCGGAACTTATCTTGGATTTCTTTTTTTTTATTTTCCACTGCTTGCTTTTTCCTCGGCAGTAAGGCGTACGTTCCATTTTTTACGGGCAATCTATAGGCCACATGTAAAATACTCTCAAAAAATCTTATCCGAGCATGCAACAAAGATAAGCCGAATTCTAGGTTTTCTTTTTTGCATGGTCTCTCCTCTCTAAATCATTAAACTATAATGAATGTAGCAATCATGGTTGATTGCATACTTTTCCATCAATCATGGCGAAAAGCATTTTATGCTTAATGGAAAAGCTGTTGACTTCGCTTTTAGTGAGCGCTGTTATTTGCGATTTAATATAGTCAATCTCTTCATTTGTCACATCTGTAGTTTCTTTTTGAATCTTATCTTATAGGCCAACAATACCGTGGTAAAGATGAGAGTAGGATTTTGCCACAGTATTTTTCTTTCCGGTCCGTAAATCAACTGAAACGGTACCATGGAACTTTGGAATATGTTTGCGTCCGAATCGGTTCATTTTCAAATTTCATTTTATACTGCATCTGTTGAGATCCATCGCAGCTCCAATTACTTATTAATACTAATGATTGTTTTTCTGCTTCACTCAATTGTTCCACTGCCTTACCAAGATGTAAAATCAGTCGTTGTGCGTGTGATCCATGAGATTTTGAACCTGTACTTCAGCGCACGTTTCAGTTACTCAGTGGATTTCAGGATCGCTAGATAGGTATTTGAACGTTCCATTATATTAAATAAATCATTTCGAGTCATGACTCTCATTCCAGAAGAGCCTATAACAAAAATACACCAAATATAAGTAAAACTTCAATTACTGAGTATCGAGCGTGTCTAGGGAAAAAAATCACCAAAAATAGAGGGGCACTTTGGGCGGCTATTTCGTACTTAATTACATCCTAAAAGGTCTATTCTAAAGCTAATCATTACAATTTTGGCTTAAAATGATGAGAAATATTTAAAACTCCCTTTGATCTTCCAAAATGTGTTTTTTAAAAGCAGTTTCTTGAGGCTTGCTTCTCAAGGGTATAAATAAAGAAAAGCTATAGATTACTTGTTAAAAGTAAGTGCCAAATAAAATACATACCTGGTTGTGTACAATCCATAATGAAAACCAACGCAAAATCGTTCAGTCACAAGATAGCAAATATTTCAAAACAACGAAATCTGAGCGCATCGAACAGTCACACGAACACTTTTGGCGAACGGTAACTTCCGACTGAGCCCACGACGTACTGGAAGGGGCTAGCGCTTTGTGTTTTTTGCTATTGTTTGGAGCAGTTATCCTTATTTTTGGAAACAATAGCTTAGAGGGAGTAGAATTAATTTTAAAAAAATCAATTTTGGCCAGCTTTTAGGGCCAAATACCTGTCTGTGCGGTGTGAACACCAATGAAAGAGCTAAGCAGTTCGCACTAAAAGTATTAGAAAACTGTCGGTCAATACTGCCGAACTTTTATAGTGTAACCGTTGTAGGAGGTCATGATGTGCACATAACGAATAGTGAAGGCGTCGCTCCTCACGTTGAAAAGTTTTTGCGATCACCAGAAACCTTTAGCAACGACACTGTAAAAAGCAAATTGTAAATAAAAATATTTCATTATCAATGATAAGTTCGTTTAATTTGTCTGTTGTAATTTGCAGAAAAAATTAAAACCGTTAAAATATCGTTATTAAAAAAACGAAAACTGTTATCTCAATAACTTTCATCCAAAAAAGTAGCACTAGCCCAACACTGCTACGAATTTGACACTTCATAATTTGACAGATATCAGTGAAAACTATTTCCATATACTAAACATTGATATATGCCTTATCTCTCTTTGTCCTTAAATGAAAGAAAAAGATAGAACTATAACCCAATGCTAAACATTTTAAATAAAATTAATCGAAGGTACGGATTCTGCGTAATAAACCTTTGATTACCAATCAATATTCTTATCACTGATACCATGGTGATAGGAATAGACACAATTCTTGTTTTATTTTTATGATCATGCAAATCCAACGGTAATATAAAAACAGCCAGTATTGTGAACTTTGTTCCTTAAAAAATGTGTTATTGGTGTTAAAGTTGTTCGCCACTTGCGTTTCGTGTAGTGACTATTTTCAGAACATTTTTTTTTATGTAATTTTCTTCTTTTTTTTGTGAAACTAATAATCTGTGAAAATGAAATTTCAACACGAATGGAGAATTCAAGTGCCGTGGGGGCAGCTGGCTTGTGAGTACTTTTAAATGTTTTTTTTTTTTTTCTGAGACATTAGACAATATTTTAATTTTTTTTTGTATTCATCAAGAAAGAAATTAATATGTGTCTTAGAGAGTTTAGGTACTTATCAATAATACTGCATTTTCATTCGTTAAAAACTGGAAAATATTACCTAATTGTTTCGCCATTTGTGGCTTTTCTCCTACCAAGCAGGTTTTTTTTTTATGGAATAGGAGGCAAACGAGCAAACAGTGTCTTTACAAACACATAATTTAATTCACATCATTTTATAAATTGCAACTCAATAATTATGCGTGTTTTTGTGACATTACATGAGTTATTATTAAAATCTAAATATTGTTTCTACCTATTGTTTTAAAATAATTTAAAGCTTAATTGTTGACAAAAAATCATCTTTATTCTATAAGACATTGATGCAAATAAGAATATTAGACAATACTTACACACAAAAAATATAACAATACTCTGAACTCCGTGTAGCTGTTATTTTTTCGTACTATTTTTGCATTGTTTCAATGACAGTTGATCTATTCATTGTAAATAGAATATTTTATTTGAATATTTAACCCGTTGAAATCCATCCCCTAAATTTGGTCATACAAAAGTAGTCTCTAAACATTGGAAATAAATGACACCTTTAACCTGTGTGTATGAATGTGATGGAAGCTAAAGAAATATGTAGACTCGATAATGAAGTATAGTAATGTTATATTAATAAATATATATAACTAAATTATTTATAAGGGGGGAAAAATCATCTAATGACTTCTCCCGCCCGGGTGATGCGAGAGGGAGTGTCAGACTCTTACTGACTAAAACCACCCCTTTCCTACTCCTGCACTTCGAGATAATTACATATTTACAACTTCAAATTTATTAGCCTCTAACCCTGGCTTTATGGAATGCTAATGGGCTGGCTAACCACACACAGGAAGTAATTGTTTTTTTGCACACACATAATGTTGACTTCATGTTGTTATCGGAAACACACTTCACCGAAAAAAGTCACTTTAAAATACCGAAGTATAAAATGTATCACACAAATCACCCAGATGGCACCGCACACGGAGGATCCGCTATACTTGTAAAAGAAAATATCAAGCACTATGTTAACAATTCTCACCGCAGCGAGGAAATCCAAGCCACCATCATCACCATAGAAAGCTCTAATGGCCCAATACAAATATCTGCTCTTTACACTCCCCCTAAGCATAAATTGAAATCTGATCAATATACATCATTCTTTGGCAAACTTGGCAGCAAATTCATTGCAGGAGGGGATTATAACGCCAACATACCGACTGGGGCTCAAGACTTATCACCACAAAGGGTCGAGAACTCATGCAAACCATCCAAAAGTTAAATCTAGGCTACACATCTACTGGGTGCCCAACATACTGGCCTTCTGATCCAAAAAAGAAACCAGACCTGGTAGACTTTTTTATTACCAAAGGTCTTTCTAGTTTGGCTTTGCTTTGCCACCCTACTTATGACCTATCTTCGGACCACACAGCCATTATAGTGAAGCTCCAAAATGACCTCGTGGAAGTTGTCAGACCCTGCAAACTGCACTCAAGGAACACCAATTGGGAACTTTTTAGGGAAATTGTAGAAAATTCACTTAACGAACGCGTTCCTCTCAAATCGGACGAGGACATTACAGCAGCAGTAGAGATCTTTAACCAATGCGTTCAATCGGCTGCTTGGGATGCCACTCCGCTCAGACGAGCTGTGAATACGATTCCCTTGTATCCGCAAATCGTTACGGATATAATACAAAGAAAACGACGCGCAAGGAAACTATGGCAACAAACTCGACACTCTAGTGACAAGAAAATACTAAACCATCTAACCAAGCAAGTGAAAAATATCCTCTTGACGATAAAAAACAAAAACCTGGAAGATCGTCTGTCTAAAATGGATGCAACATCTGCTACTGATTACTCGCTTTGGAAAGTGACCAAATCTCTGAAAGGACCAATTGAGTTCCAATCACCTTTACGACGGGATGACGGTTCTTGGGCTAAAAGTGACACAGACAAATCCACACTATTTGCAGAACACTTGTCTAGAGTGTTTACTCCAAATCCAAGTACGGGTTCAACAAAGGTGGGTGAAGTAATGGAGGCTCTTTCAGCACCGCACCAACTTGCACTCCCAATCAAAAAATTCACTAAAGAAGAGGTTACATCTGTAATCAGGAAACTCAACCTGAATAAAGCGCCTGGTTATGACCTTGTTACATCTAAGGTGATGAAAGAACTCCCTCACAAGCAATAACCCTATTAACAGCTATTTATAACTCAATCTTAAGATATGAATACATCCCTGCTCAATGGAAAGTAGCAGAAATTATTGTCATTCCAAAACCCGGGAAGGATCCGGAAAATGTATCATCATATCGACCGATAAGTCTCCTGCCTGTTGCCTCAAAAATAATGGAAATTCTTATCTTAAAACGACTGACTCCAGAGCTTGCGAAAGCCAAATTAATCCCTACTCATCAGTTTGGCTTTCGCAAAGCTCATGGGACAATTGAACAGGTGCATCGGTTGGTTGAAAAGATAAACCATGCCTTTGAAAACCAGAAATACTGCTCAGCGGCATTCTTAGACATATCGCAAGCCTTCGATCGTGTGTGGCACGAGGGACTCTTATTTAAAATCCTACAAGCCTTACCAATCAACTTCTATCTCATCATCAAATCATACCTCCAACAACGACATTTCTATGTAAAACATGGAGAAGCCAGAAGTAATCTTTATAAAATCCAAGCAGGTGTTCCTCAGGGCAGCGTAATGGGTCCTATCTTATACCTAATATATACTTTTGACCTACCAACTTCCGACGACGTCCTCATAGGGACATTTGCTGATGATACTGCTCTTATTGCAGCACACGACTGTCCCGTGGCAGCGTCCGACATGCTGCAAAAAAGCCTTAATGACGTTTCGGCCTGGTTAAAGGATTGGAGAATAAAAGCTAATGAATCCAAATCTGTTCACGTAACTTTCACTCTCAGACATGCATCATGTCCCCCAGTTGTTTTCAATAGCATAACAATTCCTCAGTTGGACGACGTGCGATACTTGGGATATACTTGGACAGACGATTAACTTGGAAGAAACATATATTCACCAAAAGGAAAGCCCTAAGTACACAACTTCGAAATCTCTACGGGCTCATGGCACGAAAGTCAAACCTGTCACTAAGCAACAAACTTCTCCTCTACAAAGCTATATTAAAACCAATATGGTCATATGGAGCAGAACTCTGGGAACGGCAGCCAACTCAAACTTGGACATTTTACAACGCTTTCAATCAAAAATGCTTCGAATGATTGCAAATGCCCCATGGTACATAAGTAATACCCAATTACACCGAGACTTAAAATAAGATCAGTGAAGGAGGAAGTCACAAGCAAACTGAAGTCGTATTCTCGCCGCATAAGGAGTCACCCCAACGAGCTTGCTAGTGAGCTTATGAAGTCTGCCAGCACCTTTAAACGCATCAAAAGGAGAGCTCCACAGGACCTACTCCTGTCTCAGCAAAAATATCCAACTCGAGGGATGCAATAATTGAAGACGGGTACACCACTGGGCGTTCTCCGTACATGTCACAATACATAACCTCTTGACCACCAGTTAAATGCCCAACTGGGCAGATTGCAGGGAAATAAGGAGATTTAAAAAAAAAAAAAAAAAAAAAAAAAAAATTATTACAACTAAACTATTGAATAAAAAGAAAAACACCCCCGCTTCTCATGGATGAGGGTGCGAGCTCGAAACTTACCAACGGCTTGTACTAATGTGACTTTTTCAGAGTTATATGTACTTTCTAAGATTATTTAGACACTGACAAATGGTGAACGAAAACATCGTGAGAAAATCGAAAAAAAATAAATAAAGTCGTCTACCCACATTGAGCAAGCGTGGTGATTAATGCTCAAACCTTCTCCCTGTGTGAAGCTGGTCAGCAGTGGCCACTTATAGGCTGTTTCTTATGATGATGATGATTACACACTCCGGTCGAGCCAGCCCATTCGTGCCGAAGCTTGACTTTTTCACATAAATAGCTCATACTCTAGTGGACTATGAGCTATTTTTTCATGTCTATTGGACTACCACGAGTTGCTGATGATGTCCGGACAGCTGAGAGGGTTGCTGGTGCTCCAGCTAGAAGTAGGACTAGGAACTTGGTGGTTTTTAGTCAGTAAGAGTCTGACACTCCCTCTCGCCTAACGCGGGAGAAGCCATTTGATGATTAAATAAAAAAAAACGTACTTTCGTCACTTAAATACAGTTTCCTTAACTTCCAGTGATCAGCCGAGGGCATCCAGATGGAGAGCCAGTGTTCCTGGTCCACGGGAGACAGGACAGCTCCTCGATCTTCACACCCCTCATCAACATGATGACCGATCAGTATTACTACGTGGCACTGGATATGCCTGGTAATGGACTCTCTGATGCCTTTCCGAAGGGTAAGATATTTTGAGCGTAATTTTTGCGAAAATGTATGTTGTTTTTTGGTACCTGTAAAAAGTATTTTTTTTATGGCATAAGCCGGTAAACGACGGATCACCTGATGGTAAACAATTGGTGTCGCCCATGGACACCTGGAACACCAGTAGCGTTACAAGTGCGTTACCGGGTTTTTGCGGATTAGAAGTTTGAGGATCGTTGGGGATTCAAAGATTGGGGAAAGGGAGGGGCCTCCGGTAACCTCAGTCACACGACGAAACATAACGCAAGCGTTGCTTCACGTCGGTTTTCTGTGAGGCCGTGGTATCACTCCGGTCGAGCCGGCCCATTCATGCCGAAGCATGGCTCTCCCACACTTAGCATGGATCTCCGTTAAAAGTATTGGGTACTTTTTGTAATAACTAACGGTTTATTTACTTGAGTTGCTCAAGAAATGCTCATTTGGTCGAGACTCATATTCATGAGTTATGAATGCGGTCATGGACGCTTGATTGGCCTTTCTAGAACATCTGATGAGATGCTACAGCTGGCTGAAGTCTAGGATTTGGTCGGCGATTCTTAGCTTAACCTTTAGCTTTTCCCATCATTGTTTACTTAGAAAAACCATCGTATCACTACATAGTATAAAACAAAGTCACTGTCCGCCGTCTGTCTGTCCCTATTTATGCTTAGATCTTTAAAACTACGCAACGGATTTTGATGCGGTTTCTTTTAATAGATAGATTGATTCTTAAGGAAGGTTTATATGTATAATACATGCATATTGCACCCGTGCGAAGCCGGGGCGGGTCGCTAGTATTATATTAAGAAAAACTGATCTATCTACTATTTCTAATATATCTACACTTAAAAGCAAAGAAATGAAGCGCCTAGCGTTTTGTTAATCTTATTGAACCCTGTGTAACTTTAAAAAATAATATGCCTTTTACAACAAAATTATCTCATTTTAAAGGGAACTAAATTAATTTTTATTAAGATATGAAAAAGCCTTCGTTTTTTTTTTGCTCCTAAGTGTAGATTTTTTATCGGGTAACCCTTGCAGGCGTCCGTACCAAAATTATTATGCATAGCGTCTCGAAATCAAAATTAATTAATAGATAGATGTTTTAGAACAAATTAAAAATGGGCCGTTTTTCAGCGGCCTCAGAGAAGGAGGACCCAGATCATCTCCGTTACGCGGTGTATTTCGACACACCACCTAAACCGAGCGAGCCGTTTGTAGACTTCTGTAGAAATCGTATGTTGACGTATAAAAACAAAAATCCAAGATCCGGTGAGTCGGTCGGTATTCTCGATGCGCTTATTGATTTTTTTGCGGTTTATTTTTTTTGTTATTTTTTTTTTGCAACTGTCACTTTTTGTTTATAGATTGTATGTAGATTTTGAATTTAGAACAAGTGCGTTGTCAACCCTTTAGAGGAAATTTGGGGTTTAGAAAACTTCACATTCGCGACTTCACATAACGCAATCATTGTTTTAATACCTAATATAATAATAATACGTTTATTTGTTAGAATATTGATACAAAGGTGTTACCAATAGATTAATATTCTGAATATTCTGCTGTTCCCAGCGTAAAAATATTTAAAATTAAAATTAAATGAAGACACGTCGAAATACACAATAAAAGCAAAATTTGGATAATATTGTTAACCTGTGTCAAGTATGATGCTTAAATTTTTACAATTGAATTATTTTAAGTACAATATTAAGATCAATTTATTAATTAAATAAAATCAATTTTAGGATAACAGTAACAAGTTTATCGTACAGTTAAAATTTACAGTAAAATTTTTCATTAAAAAAAATATAGGTTGAATAATAATATTTATGCAAAAGTCGAGCTGGCTCGTGACATGAAAATAGATTAAAATTACCGTATGATTATTTGTTTTATTTTTCATCTCATGAATTGTTTCAATGCCGAGCCGTTCGCGATTTGAGTGTAACAAAAACGAGTTTTTTTCGATTTTATTACATACTACAATTTATTAAAGTCAATAGTCAAAAGCATATAGTTCAATCGGGTACTTGACCACTAGTCAAATTCAATGCTTTTTTCGAATTGTCTAAAACGACAGTTTTCTATGAATTTTGTACGAGATTGTGTATTGTGACGTCACGTTTGATTTAGCGTCAAACAGCGCAGCGTAGTTATTTCTTAAAAAATGCTAGAAAAATCCAAAAATTAAATTGGTCATAAAATCAATTAATTGAAGCGTGATTTTTTAATATTTTATTGTATTGAACAGTTCAAATAATTCATTTTTGATTAACGAAAGTACCCAGGTAGACTAGGACGGTATGTTTGAGCGTCAACAAAAACAAAAGTGAAGCTATTTATTTACTTATTTCAAGTTGTAGATTCCTATAGAGAAAAACGAGCAAGAAAATCCGTAAAATGATTAAGTACAGACAGTGTATTTTTGACGAATAATTCAATATATGTAATTAATGGAATTTACATTCTAAAAGCAGTCTAAACAATTGTATATGCCTATCAAATATTTATGTACTTTTTCTCAGGCAATCAGCCAGGCAACTGAAAGTTTCATGTGTATGTGAACTTTGTATGTTTGTAAACGCACTCACGATACACGAGAAAATCCCAATTTTTTTTTAAATATTCTTCACTGTGCCGCTGGGTAACCGGCAACCGAGACGTGTGAAGACACTTAAAAAACTTGGAAACACTGAAAAGGAATTTGCAACTTAACTATAGCCACTTAGAGTCGTTTATTTATTTTGCTTATTTCGAATTTTTATTTCATTAATTCCATGTTGTAGTTTAGAATAGTTGTCTGTGTTGTGTTTGTCTTTTAATATAATACGTTAAGTAATTGAATATATTTCCTGTATTAAATGGGACTCATAATACAGAGAGAGACTGTCTCGTTGGCCGAGTGGTCGCAAGTGCGACTGCCGGGCAAGGGGTCTCGGGTTCGATTCCTGGGTCGGGCAAAGTATTACTGGGTTTAAAAAATAAAATCTCAGTAATAGCACGGAGTCTGGATTTGTGCCCGGTGTATGGCAATAGGCTCACCTCCTATTACATGGGACTCATAACATAAATAGTGAAAAGTGGGTGTTACATTGTACAGAGGCTTAATGTGCACCTCTGCCTACCCCTTCAGGGATAAAAGGCGTGATGTTATGTTAATACAGAGTGTTTAGTGCATCATAGTTCAAATTGAAACGGTCTACAGAAGGGGTCATCAGCTACCCTGCCTAACACCCTTCATACCCTGTGGAGTTTTTATCCACTTTTTTTTATTTATTTATTTGTTTTTTTTTATGGCATAAACCAGTAAACGAGCAGACGGATCACCTGATGGTAAGCAATCAGGGTCGCCCATGGACACCTGGAACACCAGAGGCGTTACAAATGCGTTGCCGGCCTTTTGGGGATTAGGAGTTTGAGGATCGTTGGGGATTCAGAAATTGGGGAGATTGGGGAAGGGGAGGGTAAAAAAATTACAAAAAAAAAAACACCCAACAATAACACGTTGATGAAGTGTGTTAAGAGGCCATGAAGGGTTAGCAGATGGGCCCTTCTATCGACTATTTAAATTGGGCACACGATGCACCAAACACTATCATCATCATCAACAGCCTATAAATGCCCACTGCTGAGCAAAGCCTCTTCTCACGAAAAGGTTTAAGCATTAATCACCACGCTTGCTCAATGCGGGTTGGCGATTACAAACTTATAATTAGAAATTATAAGCCCAGGTTTCCTCCCGATATTTTCCTTCACCGTTTGTCAGTGGTGTCTAGATAATCTTAGAAAGTATATATAACTCGGGAAAAGTCACATTGGTACTTGCCGTTGGTAGGTTTCGAAACGGCACCCCCATGTATGAGAATTGAGAAGCGTCTTAAACCTCCAGGCCACCACGAGATGATGATGATGATGTTGATGATTATTCAAACAAACATTGTTAAAATCAGTCCAGCGATTCTTGAGCTATATTCTAACTATATATCCTTACCTTTTCTCCAATACGAGTGAATGACCGTTTGGATTGTAAACTAGATTATGTTTCTGTTGATGTATCAAATTCTTCAGTACTATAGTTCCTACAATATATATATATAACTAGCTGGTGCCCGCGACTTCGTCCGCGTAGATTAATGATTTCTGACAGAATTAACCAGAATCAATTCAGTGCCCAAGTAAGATTTACCTATTTTGAAATGATTTATCGTAGTTTCAATAAATAAATAATTCCGCAGGGATCTTAGCAGTACAGTGCCCGATCACGTAAGGTTTGAGTAATAAAAACTATTCTATCGACTATTGTTGTACCGAATCTCTCTAGAATAAGTTCAGTGGTTAAGAGTTAGAGAGTCCTGGGGCATTGACGCATAGTTCCCGTTCTCGTGAGACATCTGTGAAAAAACTATCATACGTTACCCAGGTCCTAAATCATTGTTTTACCGAATGTAATTCAAAAAGATTCAATGATTCTAAATTCCCGGCTAAGAAGATTTATACAAACTCTCATTCCCTATTTTACCCCTTGGGGGTGGAAATTATCAAAATCCTTTCACAGCAGATTACTACGTCATAACATCTATCTGCATACCAAATTTCAACCCGATCGGTTTAAAACTGACAAAGTCCCATACAAACTTTCATCCCCTATTTTACCCCCTTGGGGGTGGAAATTATCAAAATCCTTTCACAGCGGATTACTACGTCATAACATCTATCTGCATACCAAATTTCAACCCGATCGGTTTAAAACTGACAAAGTCCCATACAAACTTTCATCCCTATTTTACCCCCTTGGGGGTGGAAATTATCAAAATCCTTTCACAGCCGATGCCTACGTCATAACATCTATCTGCATGCTAAATTTCAACCCGATCGGTTTAAAACTGACAAAGTCGCATACAAACTTTCATCCTCTATTTTACCCCCATTGGGGGTGGAAATTATCAAAATCCTTTCACATCGGATGCTTAATTCATAACATCTATCTGCATGCCAAATTACAACCCGATCGGTTTAAAACTGACAAAGTCTCATACAAACTTTCATCCCCTATTTTACCCCCTTGGGGGTGGAAATTATCAAAATCCTTACACAGCGGATGTTTACGTCATAACATCTATCTGCATGCTAAATTTCAACCCGATCAGTTGAAAACTGACAAAGTTTCATACAAACTTTCATCCCCTTTTTTACCCCCTTGGGGGTGGAAATTATCAAAATCCTTTCTTAGCGGATGCCTACGTCATAACATCTATCTGTATGCCAAATTTTAGCCCAATCTGTCCAGCCGTTTGGGCTGTGCGTTGATAGATCACTATGTCAGTCAGTCAGTCAGTCAATCACCTTTGAATTTTATATATATAGATAATATGTATATCTATCTATTATTTTATATTTAAGCTAATATGTTTACTTGTTAAATAAATGTACTTATACTATAATATTCATATTTAGGTATATATAATGTTATGTAGTCATGTACTTGTGTATGTATGTATATTAAATAATCAACTTTACTTTTGATCGATTACTTATGTTAAGGAATTTGTTTTTAAATAGAAATAGAAATAGAAATAGAAATTTATTCGCAGGAACATGTGATACAATGGATCTTAGTCTAACTTTCAAACAGTACAGTGTATTCCACCTTTTCCAGGCATGCAAATGTTTGTTTATAGTAGGCACTTTATATAATATAGAATATAAATCCAATTTCATTGATTAACTCGTCGAGTACCGGTTTTATAGACACAATTAAAGAACAATAGGTCGCGGTCACCGGTGACCGCTTGGTGCTTGACAGTTTAATTATTACGTAATGTCAAAATAATGATTCCAAAATGTCAAATTATTTTTTTAAATACATGTCAAGGCAAAATACATTATGTCAAATACATTATGTCAGTAAAATTACATGTCATAATATTAAAATCTATTTCGTTCTACAATTCCATAGTCAATGAAGTCTTTAATACTGTAAAAACATTTTTCAATTAGCCATGCTTTCAACTTAATTCTAAATTGACGCAAAGGTAGTTCTCTAATAGATCGAGGAATTTTATTATATACTCTAACTAGCTGGTGCCCGCGACTTCGTCCGCGTAGATTAATGATTTCTGACAGAATTAACCAGAATCAATTCAGTGCCCAAGTAAGATTTACCTATTTTGAAATGATTTATCGTAGTTTCAATAAATAAATAATTCCGCAGGGATCTTAGCAGTACAGTGCCCGATCACGTAAGGTTTGAGTAATAAAAACTATTCTATCGACTATTGTTGTACCGAATCTCTCTAGAATAAGTTCAGTGGTTAAGAGTTAGAGAGTCCTGGGGCATTGACGCATAGTTCCCGTTCTCGTGAGACATCTGTGAAAAAACTATCATACGTTACCCAGGTCCTAAATCATTGTTTTACCGAATGTAATTCAAAAAGATTCAATGATTCTAAATTCACCGGCTAAGAAGATTTATACAAACTCTCATTCCCTATTTTACCCCCTTGGGGGTGGAAATTATCAAAATCCTTTCACAGCAGATTACTACGTCATAACATCTATCTGCATACCAAATTTCAACCCGATCGGTTTAAAACTGACAAAGTCCCATACAAACTTTCATCCCCTATTTTACCCCCTTGGGGGTGGAAATTATCAAAATCCTTTCACAGCGGATTACTACGTCATAACATCTATCTGCATACCAAATTTCAACCCGATCGGTTTAAAACTGACAAAGTCCCATACAAACTTTCATCCCCTATTTTACCCCCTTGGGGGTGGAAATTATCAAAATCCTTTCACAGCCGATGCCTACGTCATAACATCTATCTGCATGCTAAATTTCAACCCGATCGGTTTAAAACTGACAAAGTCGCATACAAACTTTCATCCTCTATTTTACCCCCATTGGGGGTGGAAATTATCAAAATCCTTTCACATCGGATGCTTAATTCATAACATCTATCTGCATGCCAAATTACAACCCGATCGGTTTAAAACTGACAAAGTCTCATACAAACTTTCATCCCCTATTTTACCCCCTTGGGGGTGGAAATTATCAAAATCCTTACACAGCGGATGTTTACGTCATAACATCTATCTGCATGCTAAATTTCAACCCGATCAGTTGAAAACTGACAAAGTTTCATACAAACTTTCATCCCCTTTTTTACCCCCTTGGGGGTGGAAATTATCAAAATCCTTTCTTAGCGGATGCCTACGTCATAACATCTATCTGTATGCCAAATTTTAGCCCAATCTGTCCAGCCGTTTGGGCTGTGCGTTGATAGATCACTATGTCAGTCAGTCAGTCAGTCAATCACCTTTGAATTTTATATATATAGATAGATTGCCATTATTGCACAATTCTTGCCATAAAGAGTACTGCGACAATTATCCATTTTTAGTTTGGATGCATCTCGTTGTAAATGCTTACTATCTTCATTCACTCTATTAAACAAGTTATAATTTCTCACAAACATACCAATCTCAAAAATATACAGAGATGCCAAAGTCATAACGCTCAGCTTTATGAAAAGCGGTTTGCATGTCTCTAATGGTCCTACTCCACATATAGCCCTAATGCATTTTTTCTGAACTATGAATGCTCTGTCTATATCACATGAATTGCCCCACAACAACAGGCCATACCTTAACACAGAGTTCACATAACCGTGATACGCCAATAGCGCTGAGCTTTCATTTGTCGTTTTGCGTAGTTGCCTAAGTGCATACACAAATTTATTTAATTTCTTGCAGACATTTTCTACGTGTAGTTTCCAATTACAGTTTTCGTCTAGTATAATACCCAAGAATTTAATATTGTTATCTTTAGAGACCGATTGACCTGAATAGCTGATATTTAGCCTGGGTGGATATTTAGCCTTTATAAATAACTTGTCCTAGAATTAGTATTATTGTGAGTGCTCCTCTCGCCTGTGATACAGGATATTCTTCCTAGTACAGGCATTAAACCTAGTGTGATCTCTGATTTTAAATTAAGATGTTTATCTGTAATATGACCAATTTCTTATAATGAATAAAGATTTATTATTATTATAATATATTCGGTATGCCACCAGGTCCGAAGCTGATGAGGTTTCACTTCCTGTACGCTATGGAGCTGGCCATCGCACACCTTGGATGGGAGAAGTTTATCTTTATGGGACATTCCATGGGATGTGAACAAGGTAATTCGTTGCTTATTTCGGTCGGTTATGGTGTATTTTTGGTTGTAGGTGATGATATAAATGGTTTATATTAACAATAGTGTCTGCCAGCGGCTTCGCCAGCGGTGCCATGGGATAAAAAATAGCCTATGTGTTATGATAGATGATATTCTGCCACTGTTCCAAATTTGATCCAGATCCCTCCAGCCGGACAAACTGAAAAAGTCACAAATTTTCTAATTTATAATATTAGTAAGGTCGTTTTTCTTGCAGGTCTATTCTATAACGCGATATACCCGGACCGTATAACGAAGATGATCCTCCTGGACGCCGGGCCGACGCTGATGAGGATGCAGATCGAGGATCCAGCGGAGTTCCAGAGGATATACTACGATACTTACTACGATAACTACCATCATGAGAATTTTGAGACAAAGGTCGGTATGGAATATGAAAAAAACACGCATACAAACAACCAAACACACACATACAAATAAACACACGCACTCACACACATAGTTTATTGTATTTTATACAGTACTAGCTGACCCAACAGACGTTGTCCTGCATATCCACTTGAATGTACCTCTATAAACAAAAAATCATTCAAATTAGTTCAGCCGTTTAGGATAAATAACTTAAACATCGACTGCAGCACCATCTGCCGGGCTGATTTGTGAATGTAAACCATTCCCAGATACCCTTGAACACGCACAAAAAAATTCATCAAAATCGGTCCAGTCGTTTGAGAGAAGTTCAGTGACATACACACTCATAGAATAATTATAATAATAATAATAATAATAACCTTTATTGTACACCTTAAATAAATGGAATATACATTAGCGTTATAATAAAAAAAAAAAAAATAGTAGGGTACAAAGGCGGCCTTATCACTAATAGCGATCTCTACCAGGCAACCTTTGGGTGAATGGAGCATTGTTCGATGAAAGTGGAGGTTGTTCTTGGTGTACTCAGGTACTTATAAATTATATGTACAAGTAAAATATATATTCTCTAAATAAATAGTATATTTAAAATAAAATATAATACTTACATAAGACCTTATACATACAAACATATCCATATAAATATATACATACAACACATATATATTAATATATATATATACATATACACAAATAAAAATATAGCACAGATGATGAATAGGAACAGCAAAAGAAAAAACAAAAAAGAAATAGTAATGGACTACAACGTGGCGAGATAATGGTTTTTCACGAGTGCTTTGAATGTAACAAGTGACTCTGCTTGTCTGACAGAAAGTGGCAGAGCATTCCACAGTCGAACAGCTCGTACTGTAAAAGATCTGTCGAATGATCTACTCGCATGCTGGGGCATCTCAAGCTTCATATCCTCCGACGACCGTACTGGTCTAGAATGTGTGTCATGGTAGAACTGGAAACGTTCTTTGAGATAGTGGGGGGTAGTAGGATTAAACAGTATACTGTAGAGTAAGGATAAGATATGAGTATCCCGGCGAAGGCGGATCGGCAGCCACTTGAGTTTAGCGCGATATTCGGAAATATGATCATATTTGCGTAAACCAAATATAAACCGTATACTAAAATTTTGGAGTCGCTCAAGTTTATCTAGCTGCACTTCGGTAAGATCTGGATAGCTGACGTCAGCATAATCGAGGATGGGAAGAAGAAGTGATTGAGTAAGCGCAATTTTAGTAGCAGTCGGAAGAAAGTTCCGAAGTCTACGCAAAGACCTCGCAGACGCAAACATTTTCCGACTTACTTGTTTCAGTTGAGGTTCCCAAGTGAAGTCTCGGTCCATGACAATACCCAAGTCTTTTACTGTGTCACTGTATGGGATTGTGGTACCATTAAAAATAATTGAAGGGATCTGCGACCACATAATTTTACAGCGTAAGCGGGGGCTACCGACAACAATGACTGTGTTTTCGCGGGGTTAACTTTCAAACCATAGGTCGTACTCCATTCCGAGATTCGTGCCAAGTCCGTATTCACCATCTTTACTGCCTCGGAGAATTCATTAGGAGGTGCTTGTGAGTAAATTTGCAGATCGTCGGCATACAAGTGGTAGGAAGAAGAAGTTCATTAGAAATGGAATTTATAAAAATTGCGAAGAGTAGAGGAGAAAGAACGCCCCCCTGCGGTACGCCAGCAGCCGTATCAGACCAGGAAGAGTATGAACCCTCAATGGCGACACGCTGCCGGCGGCCAAACAGGTAACTGCGAAAGAAATCAATCACAGTTGGAGATATGTTAAGAGAGCCCAATATTCCAAGCAGTATATCAAAATCAACGGTGTTGAAGGCATTGCTAAAGTCTAGCAAGGTGAGCAGAGTTAGATTGCCGTTTTCAACACCGGATCGTATGTCATCAGTGATATGGACCAAAGCCGTAGTGGTACTATGTCCCGGACGAAACCCGGATTGGTAAGGATTAAGGAGACTGTGTTTGGTAAGGAAAGCGCTTAGCTGGTTATAAATAAGACGTTCCAGAACTTTAGAAAGGAAGGGTAAAATAGAAATAGGGCGATAGTCGGAAAAGGATTCTGGATTAGGTTTTTTAGGAAGTGGTGTAACCTGCGCTTCCTTCCATGCAGAAGGGAAGACGCTGCTGGACAAAGAATAGTTAAGGATGTGGCAGATGACAGGAAGGATCTCATCCAAGACAGGGAGTATCATTTTGCGACTGATGCAGTCAGTCCCTACCGCATTGGAACTGATGGAAATTATACTCTTCCTAACACTACAAGCTGTGAATTGATTGAAGAAAAATGGTGGATAGTCGGGAGCAGGAAGGGAAGAAAGATGTTTTAAGGTTTTGGATTTGATAACCCATTAATGTAAGGTGAAGAAGAAAAGTGCTTATTTAGGGATTCAAGATCCAAGCTCCCAGAAATACCATCCTGACGCTGTTTGCCAACTCCCATAGTTTTTAGAAATGTCCAGACCTTGGCCGGATCGCCGTTTTCCACTGACTTATGAATATGGCGGCGTTGTGCATCCCTACACATCTTGTTGCTACGATTCCGGGCTGCAATATACTCTTCGCGGTTCCCCGGATTAGGTTGGCGTTTAAATTTGGCCTTTGCCGCTGCCTTCTTATGAATCACGACCTTCAGGTCATCCGTCAACCACGGTGCAGGTACATGCTTTATTTTAACGGGTCGTATTGGAGCATGAATGTCATACAACTGAATGAGCTTGCTGTTAAAGACATTAATCTTCTCATCAATTGCGTCAGCGGCAAGGAGCTTAGACCAGTCAATGTTGCCGGCATCCTCACGAAGCTTATCATGGTCCATACCACTAAAATTGCGCTGAAAGAGAGTTTTGGGTTTAGATTTAGGTGGACAGATTTTGTACGAAAGAAAGATTAAGTCATGATAGGAAAAATTGTCAGCAGAACATTGTCCGTGCTTGACAACATGTTGATCGGACGAGACAAGGATAAGATCAAGAAGAGAAGGTGAACAGTTAGGAAAGTGGTGAGTGGCACCCAAGGGAAGAAGAGACAAGTTGAGTGATTGAGCAATGGATTGAAGTGAGGAGGAGCGGGAATCTTGTTTCAGAAGACAGGTGTTAAAGTCACCCATTATTATGCTGTGACTGTAAGAGGGAGTTAAGTTCAGAAGTAAATTTTCAAAAGAGGAAAAATAGTCAACACGTAGTGAAGGACAGTAATAGACACCGAGCAATACTCTGGAATTGCACAGTGTTAGTTCCAAGAAGAGATGCTCGCCAGCGTTCCGCGGCGGAGGCTGTGGTGACATATCAATTATTTTAAAGGAAATATTTGCTCGAAGATATATGGCAACCCCGCCACCGCCGCAGCCCGTGCGATCATTTCTTATCAACTGGTATCCAGGTAGAGAGTAGGAAGTAGAAGGGAGACAAGGTTTTAACCAAGATTCAGAGACAAGGATAGCATGAATATTCTTACAGTCAAGGTTCGCCAGCATATCGTGGTAATGAGCTGGAATACTCTGTGCATTTATATGGACTACATTAAGATTTTTCGGTACATCGGAGAACCGGGACTCAAGTGTATCAGCAAGAGATGGTAAACTTGTAAAGCTGTCATTATCAGTATTCGCAGAAGTAAAACTTTCATCGATACTCTGCATGTAGCTATTCATCATTTAGTATTATTTAATAAAATATTATAAGTGATAAAATATATTAAAATAAATATAGAGCTAAAATAAATAATAGAAAATAAAATAAATAAAAAAAAAAAAAAAAATGTATAAAGTGGTACGTATGTGCAAGTATCACTCAGGTCCACCTGCCGGTTGCGTGTTATAATTTAAAGATATAATCTACGACTATCTCACAACACAATACTTCGCTCGGGTAAAAATTACAGTTTAGCCAAGGAGAAAAAGAGATGAAAAAATAAATAAAAAATAATAAGTAGATGTAACAACAAATATATATCAAAAAGAGAAATAGGATAAAATAAAACAAGATCTAAAAGAGCAAAGAGATAAAATTAATGATAATTTACATACATATAAAATAATGTTATTTAACATCATCTGCATTGATGTTGTCTATGGTTTCATAGACAATTCACGCATCCGATGTCAAACCCTGGAACGCAACTATTAACTTGACGCTTGACAAGAAGTGTCAAACGTCAGAAACAGTAAACAATGTTTACATTCGAAACCGGTGAAGTTTATGAAATTTATCGATGAGTGAACAAAAATAAAGAAGTTAATTATATATTTAAAGGGTAAAATGCAATTTATAAGTTTTGAGAGGTGAAACGAAATAAATACATTAAATAGAAATAAATATATTGTGAGGGTATTGGAGTTGTTGCTACAAACAAAGGAAATAAAAATGGATTTGTTACCCGAACGAAGCAAGATCAATGGGGTTACTTTTTATTGGCGCCGCGCTTCCCCCTCCGAGCCACAGCCGCAGGAGATCGCTCGGGGACTGCTGCAGGAGACTGCTCGGTGACTGCTGCAGGCTCGCCGATCGCACGCAAGTCGCCGAGACTCAGTATGCGGTGTCTGATGCCATCCGGTCCCAGAACGTAGACGCGGCCCCCCTTAGTCCAGCAGTTCGCCACACCGAACTTATCTCGCGCCGCCATGAATACCTGGTGCCGCGTCTTCGTAAGGAACTCGGACAAAGTGATTCCCGTACCCTTGAGCTTGGTTTTGTTATACCACACCTTGTCTCGGGTATCCACGTCCTGCATCTTCACCAATATGGGTCTGGGCTTGGATTTGTTGGCGAAGCTGCCGACTCGGCGACATCTACGGACATCAGAGGTACCGAGGTTCCCCATATTGAGCTTTTCCTGGATCACACTAGCAACCACCATTGATGTGTTCTCATTGCTGTTCTCAGGAACTCCGTGGATCAGCAGCATCTTTCTGCGGCCTCTCATCTCCTGCTCATCCATGTCACGGGCAAAGAACTCCATCTGCCGCTGCAGGCACTCAAGGGCATCAAGAGTGAACCGCTTGAAGGCCCAGTAGTCCTGTGCCAGACCTGAGGTGCCGCCAGATGCAAGCTTGGATGGTGTACTGCAGTGCCCTGCCTCAAATCTTGACATTCGTTCTCTGAATTCTGCCCTCATCTCAGCCAGTGTTCCACTAAGTGCCTCCACCGCGTTCATGTTGCGTAAAGTTTAATGCAGAGGTAGTCTTTTAGGTTTAGAAATGTCGTAACACACTAAGCCAGCAGGTAGTGCTTTTCAGTGAGTACTTATGGTGATAAATACTATTAAATAACAAATAAAATTATTTATTTTGGGAGAGACGCTTTCCCTGTGTCTTTCACTTCGAACACCTACCTGCAAAAAAATTATATATATATAAAGACTAGCTGACCCGGCAAACGTTGTTTTGCCATATAAATAATTACTAAAATGGCTATTAAAAAATAAGGGTTGATCGTAGAAGGGTGAAAATTGAGGATTGTATGTATTTTTGCATATGGTATCATAAAAAAATAGAAATTAAAAATGGTGTCTAAAAAATAAAAACAATTTAGGGGTGGACTGCCCCTAATATTTAGGGGGATGAAAAATAGATGTTGGCCGATTCTCATAGATACCGGATAAGCACAAACAAATTTCATAAAAATCGGTCAAGCCGTTTCGGAGGAGTATGGCAACGAAAACTGTGACCCGAGAATTTTATACAAGGTGTAGTTTTGAAGCCGTGTCATTTCTCGGGGGCATGTCACAGAAGTCATATGGGTTCAATGTAAGAGAAAATTTCGGGCCAATAGTTAAAAATACGGCTATAATAAACCGTTGGACAGTATTTCAGAAAAAGCGACAGCAATGCTTCTTATTGGAGTTTTATGGAATTAGGAATAATATTAATTACGTTTTTGAGTGTGTTATGCCGCGTTATAAAGCTAGTAACAAGACGGCGGCGTGTAGTTCACACTTACGGATTTGCGTAATTTACAGAAAAATTAAAAAAATTACCTACCATTTTTTTCTTGATTTGGACTCAGAATCTATAGCCGAGTTACCTCCTAGAAAATGACGCGGCCTTAAAACAACACCTTGTATATTAGATGTTAGGTTAAACGAGGGACATATTCAAATCCACAATAGTGTATGCTCACACGAACATAACAAATATATAAACGAAACAAAAACACTAATAAATAACATACAAAACCATAAAAACGCTGGCGCTTACGCTTAGCGGTTTTTTTTCTTTTATAAAACACTAGCTTTTACCCGCGGCTTCGCTCGCGTCACAAAAGGATAAAAAGTAGCCTATGTGACATATACCAATACATACAGCGCCATCTATACCAATACTTTTGTTTTCCGGGTCAATCAATTTTTTCCGGGTTAAAAAGTACCCTATTATTTAATCCGGACTTCTAACTTTACGTCTGCAAAAATTCAAAGCAATCGGTTGAGTAGTTACGGCGTGATGGTGGAACAAACAAACAAACAAACAAACTCACTTTCAGATTTATAATATTGCCCCACACTAGGATTTTCTCCTGTGCCGTGGGTGCGTTTACAAACATACAATATCACATACACAATAATACACATGACACCCAGACCCGGAACAACAATCTGTGGATAACACAAAGAGTTGTTCCGTGCGGGAATCGAACCCGCGGCACGTTGCGCGGCAGCCAGCTGCCCAGCCATCGCGCCAACCGTGCAGTCTTCGGTCAGCGGGTTTACGCGCGCTCTATCCTTTTCTTACGCGACTTACTTTATGTAAGTACCGTAAAATGGGGTGGTTTTTTTTTAAGGGGGGAAAATCATCGAATGACTTCTCTCGCCTGGGTGAGGCGGGATGGAGTGTCAGACTCTTACTGACTAAAAACCACCCCGTTCCTTCTCCTGCACGTCGAGCCGGAGCCCCGGTTACCCGTTACGCCTTCCGCGGCTCCGTATCGGGCATTAGCCCTACTGGGTCCCCTCGCTCCGCACCAAGGCCCGAACCAGAGCCGGACGCGAGAGGTCGCCGTCGCCGACTACATCCCTGAGAACACGGTGGTGCTCAGTCCACGCTGGGCACACTGCCACCGTATGCTCCACCGTGTCCTCCGGGCGGTCCTCGCAGTGATGACACCCGGACTTTTCCTTCCGCCCAATCTGAAACAGGACCCTACCGAAACTCCCATGTCCGGTAAGCGCCTGCGTCAGGTGACGACGCCGTAGCGTCTCTCAAGCCACTCCTCAAAAAGAGGACTTACCGCTGCAACACCAGCGAGCCCAAGGCCTAGGCCAAGAAGAAGCGAAGGACACACCGGGCGTCGAGGATCGCGGGACGATCTCCGGCCACCATAAGCGCGGGGCTCCGGCTCGACGTGCATGAGAAGGAACGGGGTGGTTTTTAGTCAGTAAGAGTCTGACACTCCCTCCCGCCTCACTCAGGCGGGAGCAGTCATTCGATGATATTCCCCCATTAAAAAAAGTCAAGAAAAAGAAGAATTCCGATCAACTTAATTTCACTTTGTATAATAATTTCAGCTATACACAAGGAACACAGCCACTGAAGCGCTGAAGCGGCTCCGAGATCTGAACGACCCGCAGTGTGCATTCCTGCTCCAAAGGAATTTCCATGAAATCGATGATCGGTAAGTTAAATGGTATCTTATTTTTTACATATTAAGGCCTAGTTTTCATTGGCACCTACTTGAAGTGTTTTGTGTTTTTATTTGATGACATTTTCTGTCGTCGAAAGTAATCGTAACGAGTACGCGTTCGGCACTCTGATTGGTTGGTTCATTGATGCTGGCCAATCAGAGTGCCTAGCACGAATAACTATCGCATTCGTATCGTAACAGTATCGAGCGAGTTAAGCGATCTGATTGGTTGGTTCACTTGAGCCGGCCAATCAGAGCGCCGAACGCGTACTCGTTACGATTACTTTAAACGTAAATGAAACTCGTAGTAAGGCCTCAGTGTGGAAAAATTATGTAATACTAGCCCTCTGTCCGCGACTTCGTACGCGCAATACCGTTTTATTCCCGTTCCCGTTCGTAATTTTCGGTATAAAGTAGAAAAAGGAGTATTGGATGAAAAAAAATATCCTATGTCCTTCTCCGGTTCTAAGTTGCCTCCCCACCAAATTGCAGCCAAATCGATTGAGCCGTTCTTGAGTTATAAATAGTGTAACTAACACGACTTACCGACACAGGGTACAGGATAAGTCGACCTGAATCCTTTAAGAAATGGTAGTATGCATCATTCCTAACCGATTTGACTAAGGAACCCCATATCCCAAACATAACCATTCTGAAGATGTCGCGGAGAACCTAACGGGTAACCGGGGCTCCGGCTCGACGTGCAGGAGAAGGAACGGGGTGGTTTTTAGTCAGTAAGAGTGTGACACTCCCTCCCGCCTCACCCAGGCGGGAGAAGTCATTCGATGATTTTCCCGCCTTAAAAAAATACTGTTCTCAAGATATATCGGCCTTTGAATTACTTTTACAAAATATCCAGACTTTTGTCAATTGCCGCCTTTTTTGTGTGTTTTGTCTTTTTTATGGGATAAGCCGGTAAACGATCAGACGGATCACCTGATGGTAAGCAATCGGCGTCGCCCATGGACACCTGAAACACCAGAGGCGTTACAAGTGCGTTACCGGCCTTTTGGGATTAGGAATTTGAGGATTGTTGGGATTCAGGGATTGGGGAAAGGGGGGGGGGAGGTAATTGTCTTAATTTTGTTCTGATTTTTGCTGTTTTTCTGTGGAAGATTAGTTGATTTCTTATTTAACTCGTCGAGTACCGGTTTTATAGACACAATTAAAGAACAATAGGTCGCGGTCACCGGTGACCGCTTGGTGTTTGACAGTTTAAAACCATAAAACTGCAAGTGACTATACTACTAAGAGGCGGTAGTCCATCTACATATTAAAGGATTCAGGTCGAGTCAACCTGAGTTTGTTTCGGCATTTCTTCTCAGAGTAGTCAATTAGGAAATGTCGACCTCATCGTTCGCTTGATAAAATTGACGTGTAAAAGTGCTGCCTTGTAGCCTATTTGCAGAAATAAATTCACTTGTTTCACTTGTAACCATGTATATAGATAGATTTAACACCCGCCTCTTTCTCTCTCTATCTATATCTCTCTTTTCTCTCTCTCTTTTTCTCCCTCTCTTTTTCTCTTTCTTTATTTCTCTTCCCTACCAAATTGCCTTTCTGTCGTTTATAATAAGTAATACCTAAATAATATTACATCCCATTCCACCAGGAGTTGGCACCAACTCGAAGAATGGCATTCAGGAGAAATGGTAAGACGGAGACAAGAACAGGCTCGTCTCCAAGATGGAGCCAGCTCCTCAAATGATGCACGGAATCCACTTGAAGGGAGATCTGAAAGCCAATCTCCAGTGTTGGAGTTCGAGTCGGATTCTGATGATGGATCAGCGGTACAGAAGATGAGGAACCCTGGTCCTCCACTGACTACTTCGCAGCTGGTTGAGCAGTATATGAGGCAGTACAAGCTTCGGTTCTCCGGGTGAGTATTTATAAAAATTTCTTTCGAAATCGGTTGCTAGCTAAGTCGTAAATATTAAAAGATTTTTTTAAATCGTTGCCGGGGCAGTAGAATTTACTCCTGTGTCGTGGGTGCGTTTACAAACATACAAGTTCACATATACATAACACCCAAAGCCGGGACAACAATCTGTGGATCACACAAATAGTTGTTCCGTGCGGGAATCGAACCTGCGACACGCGCCCAGGCACCGCGCCAACCCTGCAATAAATGTATTTATTTACTTAAACACAGAGAACTCAATAGCTTATTTAGTATGGTATATGTATAATAATATCAAGGAATAGAATCCTTAAGCCAATTAAGTATTTGCCAACTAGTCAAATTCAATACTTTTTTCGAACTGTCAAAAACGACAGTTTTCTTTGAATTTTGTACGAGATTGTGTATTGTGACGTCACGTTTTTTAGCGTCAAACAAAGTACTTATTTTTTGAAAAAAAGCTGGAAAAATACTAAAATTAAGTTGATCATAAAATCAATTATTGAAAGTGTGATTTTTTTTATAGCATAAGCCGGTAAACGAGCCGACGGATCACCTGATGGTAAGCGATCGGCGTCGCCCATGGACACTCGAAACACCAAGGCGTTATAAGTGCGTTACCGGTGTTTTGGGAATTGGGAATTTGAGGATTGTGGAGGATTCGGGAATTCGGGAGACTAGGGAGGGGGGTAATTGTTAATTGGGCCTCCAGTAACCTCACTCACACGACGAAACACAACGCAAGCGTTGCTTCACGTCGGTTTTCTGCTCGGCCGTGGTATCACTCCGGTCGAGCCGGCCCATTCGTGCCGAAGCATGGCTCTCCCACACTTTTTTTAAGGGGGGAAAATCATCGAATGACGCGGGCGGGAGTGTCCGGCTCTTACTGACTAAAATTTGATTATTTTTAAATACTTTATTGTATTTAACAGTCGAAATAAATTATTTTTGATGAAGCTAAGTACCCAATTACAGAGTTTTTCGGCTTACGTTAAGTAAAAACAGGTTAATATGATTTTATTTGTTGCCTATCCCATATAATAAAGTCGCGGAGAACCTAACGGGTTACCGGGGCTCCGGCTCGACGTGCAGGGGAAAGAACGGGGTGGTTTTTAGTCAGTGAGAGTCTGACACTCCCTCCCGCCTCACCCAGGCGGGAGCAGTCATTCGATGATGTTCCCCCATTAACAAAATCCCATATAATTAAAATAATAATGCTATTCCAATGATATTATAAAGAAGATACGCTACGTTCATACTAAGCGGCGTCCAAAAATTGTTGCGTTCTTATTACAAATGTACTTAAATGTCATTTTCAACTACGTGCGACAGATAATACGGAAAGTATGGTACAGAAAGAGATAGCTATTATAAAATTACGACAATTGTCTGAATTCGTTCGCAACAATTTTTGCGTGCCAGTGCGATATCTACCTCTTTTTATTATTTACTAGTTTCTGCCAGCGGCTTTGCCCGCGATCCCAGGGGTAAAATGCCTATGTATCACTTCAGACCATAATCTACCTCTGTTCCGAATTTCATTCCAGTCCCTTCAGTGGTTTTAATATGCCTGAGTAACAAACATACACATAAACTCACATATTTTCATTTTTAATATCGAATCAAGCTAATTTCAATCATTGGCCTTTCAGTTACAGCGTAAAGTCTATGAATCAGTATTGTAAACGTTAGAGTAGACAAATACAATCAGAAATCACCGAATTGCTAAGCTATCGGGAGTTTCACGTGTTATTGTGAGTCAACCATAAAAGATAGACATATGCTGTCGATGAATATTTTTTATATAATTTTGAGGAGAATATTTCCGTCATACATGATTTCTATGCAGCTTTAACCTATAAGCCTGCACACGCGACGGAAGCTTAAAAAATGGAGTAACTTCTCCCGTTTTCCCAATATTTCCCTTCCCTGCTCTGCTCCTATTGATTGTAGCGTAATAAAAAGTATACTATAACCTGCCCAAGAGTATGAAGAATAATTGTGCCAAATTTCGTTAAAATCCATCGAGTAGTTTTTGTTTCCATAACGAACATACAGACAGACAGACAAAAATTTTACTGATTGCATTTTTGGCATCAGTAGCGATCCCTAACCACCCCTTGATAGTTATTTTTTAAATATATTTTATGTACAGAGTTGACCTCTCTACAGATTTATTATAAGTAAGTATAGAAGATAATATCATTGTGCTATTCAATTTCAGTGAACTAGGTACCCTGAACGGTGATAATCCAGAGCGTCTAAGAGTGACGCGCGATGTACCGAAGTCAACGACCTGCCCGGACGGGACGCCGGCGCTGGACCTCAGTCAAATCATTAAACATATGCGGGAACACGATCCTGTTGGGTGAGTCGAACATAACATTAATAATAGCATTTTATCCCTGAAGGGGTAGGCAGAGGTGTACATTATGCCACTGTACAATGTAACACCCACTTTTCTCTATTTATGTTGTGAGTCCCATGTAATAGGGGGTGAGCCTATTGCCATATACCGGGCACAATTCCAGACTCTGTGCTACTACTGAGAATTTGTAAAAACCCAGTAATACTTTGCCCGACCCGGTAATCGAACCCGAGACCCCTTGCCCGGCAGTCGCACATGCGACCACTCGGCCAATTGTGTTTTATTGTTGTGTAGTATTACTGGGTGTTTTATATCTCAGTAGTATCACGGAGTCTGGAATTGTGCCCGGTATATGGCAATAGGCTCACCCCCTATTACATGGGACTCATAACATAAATAGTGAAAAGTGAGTGTTACATTGTACACTGTCATTAAGTGCCGTAATGTGCACCTCTGCGTACCGCTTCGGGGTAAAAGGCGTGATGTTATGTTATGTTGTTGTTTCTTCAAAGTTTATTTTGCTTTGCTTAGCATGATGCTGTTAGTTGGTGTCGAATTTTTAATCTTATTGCTGTAGTAAATAGAGTTTAATTTGCTTTGCTGTATTCAAAATTGTCTAAATTGAATATTAAGGCTGTACGAAGTAGTTGTTAGTTTCCATCTTTATGGTATTGGATTAGAGTTCATTTTACTGTGCTATTTACTATTTGATTTGAATGCCAGGATTCTCATTTTCTTATAATGTATGTAAGATGACAAAACTTCTGTTCTGTTAAATTAGACTCAGTATTAATGTTGAATAGATAATGTTATTGCTTTGTCCCTTTCTTATGTACGTTGTCAGAAAGGGATGTCAATAGTTTAGAAGAATTCAATTAATTTGCTCTCTTTTTCATTCTTGTTTTAAATTTGGTTTATTTTTTTTTCTAGTTTGTTTTTGTTTTTTTTTATATACAGACTTTTTTAAAAACGTTTATAGTAAAGCAATTATAACTATACTAGATTTAACATTTAAAACAAATAGACTAACGATCTCGTTTAAAATAACGTAAAATTACTAACATAATAGGGTAGTAGCCAGGGTATGAGAATTAAAAATCTAATTAGTCCGTCAGTTAGATAATGAAAAAATATTAGACACGTATTTTTTTATTTTGTCGTATTAAGTTGCAATACTTAAATAAAATGGCGCTAAGTTTAGGAGTGGGAGGTCGTGACATCACGCTACCCTATAAAATGTAGCAAATCGTGACGTCACACGATATTTCAAATCAATATATCATCGAAAGTATTTGTTTTAGTTAGAAAATAAAAAATTCATGTCTAATGTTTTAAATTAATCTACCAGACGGACATTAAAATAAAATTGAGTATTGGCTATGTGCGCGACGGTGGCGACGCGTATTTCTAACATTTGCGGAAGCTGTCAAATAATAACAATGTAAACAATATAATTTTCTTTGCAAATATAAATAAAACCAAAGATTAAAATAGTATTGTTGACATTATTTAATAGTTTTACTGTAAAATGAATATAATAATAAAAACTGGGTTTAAAACTACTACACATAATATTAGTTTCCAACCACAAACTGGGACAAAAGGCAATAAATTAGTATTAGCCGAGCATGTAAGAAATGTGGAAGAACTGCGACATAACGGCCAGAGCTACTTAATACGAGCCATGGTCCATTTCTTTGCTTTGATTTTGTACTGCAATCAACACATTTGACAGCTGATCATCCGCATTTGTTTCCAATTTCTGCCGTGTTGTGCGCTGTGGTCGTTATCTGTCCGCCACTACTTGCTTTGCCCATAGCCAATACTAACCTATTATCGGGTAATTTTTCAAACAATCCCTCCTCAAATTTCAGGTACTTATCATGGGACAATCGACTAAAAAACCTCGCGCCCCAAAATTACGGGAACGATTACTATTTCGAATTATTTAAAACTATACCGCCATCTTTGTTTGTGGTCGCTAGCGATGGCATGAAAAGCGCGCCAAAGAATCCAATATGGCGGGAGCGCGCCATGGAGCTAATAGATAGATTATCAAAATTAAATAATTTCAATCGCGTCGATGTCGAAGGGAGCCACGATGTTCATTTTACTCACCCTGAAAGAGTGGCTCCTCATGTAATTAAGTTTTTAAAAGATAAAGTTAATTCAAAGTTATAATTATGTTTTTGTTGGTTTTTTTTTTGGTAAAATTCTGTCTGATTCATTGTTAAAGGTGGTGTATAAGTTTTAAAACTATTATTTTTATCATATTTTGGTATATTTTAGTGAGTGTGAGTGAGATATAAATTAAATGAAATATACGGATTTTAAGTGTGGGAGTGAACCTAACGGGTTACCGGGGCTCCGGCTCGACGTGCAGGAGAAGGAACGGGGTGGTTTTTAGTCAGTAAGAGTGTGACACTCCCTCCCGCCTCACCCAGGCGGGAGAAGTAATTCAATGACTTTCCCCCTTTAAAAAAAGTGTGGGAGAGCCATGCTTCGGCACGAATTTAATAAAACCTAATTTATTTTATAAAGTTTAAAATATCTTCTTTAGTATTAATTTAAAAATAAATATTTTTTAATTAGTCAATCAGACAGGATTTTCCATAACAAATATTTTTTTTATAGCTAAGTTATTTTATATTTTTTATATGTTCTGTTAAATATTATTATGTACTTCATATAAATCTCAAATTAGTTATAATTTTAAAAGACACTAATTATAATAATTTAATTATAGAATTTGTAAGTAGTAAAGTGAGAGTGAAATATTCAGTTACTATTCGGTATCCGGCCCTTTTTTACTATCCGGCCTGATACCGGATGGTCTTCTGCTATCCGGCCGTATACCGAATAGTGAAATTGGTAGATTTTATAAATGGAATCTAAATAGATAAAGAATTGAAGCTTTTTTTATTATTTTAAACAACTATTCTTTGTTTTATACTATAAATGTAGTGAATGTGATAAGTATATTTCTATCATTTTTGTTTTTTAATTATTTTATTTTTGTTTTGTCGAGCTTCTTTTTAGTGCTTAAACTTTAAATGTCATAGAAATTGTGTTTTGTTTTTGTATTTAGATTGTATAAAAATCTCAGTATTTCATTTAGATTTTTTGTGTAATATAATTGGGTAGTTTCCAGGGTATCAAAATTAAATATCTAATTAGTCCATCAGTTAGATAATGAAAAAATATTAGACACGTATTTTTTTATTTTCTCGTATTAAGTTGCAATACTTATATAAAATGGCGCTAAGTTTAGAAGAGGAAGGTTGCTACGTCATAACGTGCTACAAAATGTGGCACGCTGTGACGTCACACGATATTTCAAATTACTATATCGTCAAAAGTATTTAATTTTGTGAGAAAAGAAAAAATATGTGTCTAAAGTTTTAAATTAATGTATCAGACGGACATTAAAATAAAATTTAGGAAACTACCCTATTGTTCTACTGTCGAACCGGTTTTGGTGTCGATATGCCAATCAAACAATCCTATTCGTAAATAAAAGGTAATATGTTATCTGTGACTGTTTTTGTCTGACAATAATTTCTAAGCAATTTAGTTTGTTATTATCATATTGTAACGTTTTTATAGGACTCTCGATCTGCGCATGCGTTTGCTGACCGGCGATCCAGATTTCTGGGAGTATAATGCACTAAAATTAGATTAATTTCTTTATGATCTTAATATGGTGGGTATTTCAAATTTTCCTTCATTATCTGTGAAGTATCTGGCCGATTCTCAACACATGTTTGTTTTTTATTCACTCATTCAATTATCGCTTAAATGCCATAATACGGTAGTAGACAGGTAGTCAAATTCAATACTTTTATTGAAATGTCAAAAACGATACTTTTCTATGAATTTTGTATTGGATCGCAACTTATGACGTCATCATATTTCTGCGTCAAATATCATACATATTTCCTTAATTTTAGCGAGAAAAAATTAAAAGTAGGTAAATTGTCAAATCAATGGATGAGAGTATGATTATTTTTTAATTATTTATTGCATTGAAAAGTTGAAATAATTTATTATAGGCTTAGGAAGTTAGCCAATTGTCAAGGCCTGAGAGGGTAGGGAATAGAATAGTTTTTAGTCAGTAAGAGTCTGACACTCCCGCTTGCCTCATCCAAAGCCGGAGAAGTTCTTCTATTAGATGATTTTCCCCACTCAAAAAAGGGGTAAATGAACACTCTTTTTAAGGGGGAAACGATCGTCGGATGACTTCTCCCGCCTGTTGAGGCGAGAGGGAGTGTCAGACTCTTACTGACTAAAAACTACACCGTTCCTACTGCTCTTTGAGTCGGAGCCCCGGCAACTAACCATTTCAGTGCAATACATAACAGTCTGGTCGGAGAAAGGATCCTCCTTTTCCGATCTTAGGGAACTTTACTCTCTGTTCCCTAAATACAGGGTGTTTGGCAGAACGTTGTACATACGAAAATGGTGAAATTAAATATTAAAAACTAAATATTGCCTGTTTTACCCATTTTTAATAAAAATTACCCTCTAAAGCTGCATGGGTGCCCACTGAAAATCAGTGCTGGGTAACCTGTATGCCTGGCTTATACTGAGTGGGTGACCCTTTAAGCATAGGCATGTTGTCAGCGTCTCCTTTCTAATTCTTCTGTTTCAATTTTTCAACTCTTATATTTTTATTACTTCCACCGTCACATCTTGATTGTCTTTTTTTTATTTTTTATTTATGCTGCATCGTGCCTGGTGCTAAATAAATGTTTTTTCTTTCTCTTTCTTTCTTTCTTTCTTTCTAAATTTAAGAAAGTGGTGAAACAAGAAGAAAAAAAAAGAAATATTTAAAAATATCCAGTGGGCCAGGGCCAAATAAATTAGGGCTGAGTAAGTAGCAGATGACCCCACCTATCCACCATTTTGGTATGTTCAACGTTATGCCAAACACCCTGTATCAATACAATAAAGTTGAAGTTGTAATAGAAAAGTATAGGCTGCTGATTAAAAATATATCCGATGACAGAAAACTAGACACAGGTTTAACGAATTTACAACCTTAAAGGTGCGGTTGATAATATGGCTACGGATTGTAACGAATTCATTTCATGTTTTTATAATAACTATCGTAAAACATACTAAATTAAGTAAAAACGCGGGTTACTCACGTGAAGTGAGCTGCGCGACGTAGCCGCGACCGCGCACGCTGCTCATGAGGAAGATCCCCTCTGTGGTTCGAAACTAGTAGAGCTTTTCTCAGTATATTCACGTGAGTAACCCGCGTTTTTACTGAATTCATTTCATATTCAATTCTTTAATGAAATGTTTAAATGCATTTATTTAGTGGTAAACGAGCAGACGGATTACCTGATGGTAAGCAATCAGCAACACCAGAACCGTTACAAGTGCATACTGGCCTTTTGGGATTAGGAATTTGAGCATTATAAGCACAATTCATATTTTTAATCTATGTAGTTTAAATTATTTTTTTCATCTTGCAACCCTACTAATCTATGATAATTATTGTGATCTATTTATTTTTTTATTGTAAATCTAATGTAACATTTCTGTTTAGGCCAAAATTGATGTGACATGTATGTAAAGGATTCAAAATGTGTAGGTATATCTATATCTTATACTCTTATACTATTATATAAAGCGTAAGAGTTTGTTTTTTTGTTTGTTTGTTTGTTTGAACACGCTAATCTCTGTAACTACAAGTCTGATTTGAGTAATTCTTTTTGTGTTGGATAGCGCATTTATCGAGGATGGCTATAGGCTTTAAAACATCACGCTACGACCAATAGGAGCTGAGCAGAGCGTGTGAAACCGTGCGGAAGTAGCTAGTAATTATATATAATATTGTCTATGTATTTATACTAGGTATTTATGGAATGACTGATTTTGGCCTTAAATTCTAAAAAAGACTTGGGAAGTGATATTTAACTATCTTGGATTGATTATAATGTGTATATACAGCAGGTCAAGCGCGCAGGAATCTTTCTTCTTAGGTATCTATTAAGGCAAAATATCAAAAACATTTGTTCGTGTATAAATCTCGAAATGACTTCATGGCAGAGCTGGATTAACACTAGAGGGCGCCCTAAGCACCTTATAGGCAGTACCGTCTTTACTATGAGGGCATTTGAAGCCCGTGCCCAGGTTTCCCATCGTCATAGCCCCGAAGGACCGTCAAATTCTACTTCAGATACACAGCTACATGTTGTGCGGCAGCCGGTTGTACCAGGTTCGATATCCGCAACAAATCTTTGTGTGTTCCACAAACTGTTGTTCCGAGTCTGGGTGTCGTGTGTATGTAAACTTGTATGTTTGTAAACGCACCCACGACACAGGTGAAAATATTATTGTGGGGACAAAAAAGAGCCATTTCAAAAGGTCAAAGAAAGTCAAAGTCAAAATCATTTATTTCAATTAGACCAGGAAGGCACTTTTGAACGTCAAAACAAAATATTTAAATAATAAATAATAAGAAAAAATGTCAGTCTGTAGGTCAGTCCTCTAGTGAAGCTATTTGCTCGTTCTAAAGTGTAGATTCTTATGGAGAAGAACGAGCAAGAAACTTCATAGGTTACTCTTTTTCAATCATGTTCACAATACAATTTTTGGTTACATTCTTTCGTTGAGTTCAATTATGTGAGAACAATGTAATACCAATATTTGGACAAGGAGACGGAAAAAGAAGAAATTATTGTGTGGGTCTAAATCTAAGACGGTCCTGCTCATAGGCGCTCTTAATTTTATTTGGCGCTGACGTCACTTTATGGGTACTAGGGTCTTGCGTCTCCGCATCCTGGCGCTCTAGGCACTTGTCTAGTCTACTTTAGCGATAATACAGCTCTGCGTCAGAGTTCTCTGAGGGTGCGGGTTCGAAACCTACCAACAGCAAGTACCAATGTGACTTTTTCCGAGTTATATGTACTTTCTAAGATTACTCAGACACCACTGACAAACGGTGAAGGAAAACATCGTGAGGAAACCTGGGCTTATAAATTTCTAATTATAAGTTTGAAATCGCCAACCCGCATTGAGCAAGCGTGGTGATTAATGCCAAACCTCAAACCTTCTCCGTGTGAGAAGAAGCTTTGCTCAGCAGTGGGCATTTATAGGCTGTTGATGATGATGATGACAGCTCTGCGTCATAGAGGTTTTATACGAAGGCCAAACTTTAACGCAACATAGGTGCGTGAAACCAAAGACGTTGAAAGAAAGGCTGGGCGACAGCGATTGCTTACCACCAGGTGATCCTGGAACCTAGTTACAAGTTCGTTACAAGTGCGTTACCGGCTTTTTGTGGATTAGGAATTTGAGGATTGTTGGGGAATCAGGAATTGGGGAGATCGGAGAATCGGGGGGTAGGTAATTGGGGCTCCGGTAACATCACTCACACGACGAAACACAACGCAAGCGTTGTTTCATGTCGGTCTTCTGCTCGTCCGTGGTATCACTTCGGTCGAGCCGACCCATTCGTGCCGAAGCATGGCTCTCCCACACTTAATCATTTGTATATAAATGATATTGTGTCCATTTTTTTTTCAACCCACTTATGTGGAACTATCAATTTCATATTCAAAAATGCGATTATTTTCAAACATATTAACTATTGATATTAAAATATTTAGTTAGGTAACTTATTAATCGGTGTTATGTATTTTATATGAAAAAAATATGTTAATAATTACGTAGGTATTTTCATTATGTATTAAGTATTTAACGTCATATTATGTAATAATATGTAAAACTCTCATAGATTAGTTAATTATAATACCAATGTACTTTTAATATGGGCATATATTATCTTAGGTACTGATGCCCGAATACTGAAACATTACTCAATTTTAATTCACGCATGTATAATTATGTACCACCACGGATGGGGCCCAATAGGGCTGATGCCGATACGGAGCCACATCTCTTATAACTGTTGGTCGGCTCAATAGCAAACCAATAGCTACTTGCTCTGTACTGAATCGAATGATTTTCTTATCTGTATACAGGCATACAAATTTGTCTGACGGCATCTGTGTATGTACTTATTATTATTACTGAAATGTAGATCAAATTATGCACAAATATTTTATCAGCTCTTGTAGTAGGTATAGGTGTCAACTTGACCATTCAATGGTAGCGAGGTTCACTGTCCAGTGACACACGTACGTTGGTATCGTCATGAGCTAATGTTCACATGTAAACAGTGACTCGTGTAGTGTAGATGTCCAGTCAACTGATGGTAGCGAGGTTCACTGTCCAGTGGCACACGTACGCTGGTATCGTCATGAGCTAATGTTCACATGTAAACAGTGGTTTGTGTAGTGTAGATGTCTAGTCAACTGATGGTAGCGAGGTTCACTGTCCAGTGACACACGTACGCTAGTGTCGTCATGAGCTAATGTTCACATGTAAACAGTGGCTCGTGTAGGGTAGATGTCCAGTCAACTGATGGTAGCGAGGTTCACTGTCCAGTGACACACGTACGCTGATATCGTCATGAGCTAATGTTCACATGTAAACAGTGACTCGTGTAGTGTAGATGTCCAGTCAACTGATGGTAGCGAGGTTCACTGTCCAGTGACACACGTACGCTGGTATCGTCATGAGCTAATGTTCACATGTAAACAGTGGCTCGTGTTAACTCGTGTAGTGTAGAACTGTAGATGTCCAGTCAACTGATGGTAGCAAAGATTTTAATCGGATCGTAACATGAACTTGTCAGAGGTCATTGACCTAATTATTTGTTGGATACCTATTTCATTGTTTTATAATAAGGTTAATTAATGTAAAACACAATGTATGTAGTAAAATGCATTTTTAATTACTCGGAAATAAATGCCAGTAGTCCAAGGAATGTGTGTTTTATTTAAAAATAGATTTAACGGTTTTACTAGTCTAATGGCCTCGATTTCCCAGAAAATTTATATAAACATGTCATTATATTATAATGAAAACGACAACAAATAAAAAAGAAACTTTAATAAATAAATAAAAAAGTAACAACAACAAAGATATCACAATTTCGCTTTCGCGCCTTCTAGAATAAAGTTTGAAATGTCATCGGCCATGTACTCTGGATTGTCTATGTGCACATCATGGCTGCCATCGACAATCTTGTACTTATAATTGCCGTGAGGCCAAGCCTTTTCATCCATAATGAATGGTACGGGTTCGTAAACACCTACGTCTATCATTTTCTTAGCCAATACACAAAATGTTGGTGTGGTCGTGGTCGTGTATATTTTTTCTAACATTTCGCCGGAAAAGGGGAATACTGATACTTCTTTCATACGCTGGTCAAATGTGAATCTGAAAGAAGAAATAGTTTTGTTAGAAACAGGTTAAATGCTCCCAACTGGCCTATCTGGATGTCATTTGGGGAGGCCTATGTTGAGTAATCGAGGTCTTGTGGCTGATATATAGAAAATACGGTATGCTTCATGTTCATTCCAAACGTATATTTACATGTATATCCATATAAATGAGAAAGTAAATTATGCTGTTTTTTATTGATGGGCCGACGTTTGACGATTATCTCGTCTGGTGGTAAGCGATGATACGGTTTACGATAGAGGACGTTTGCCCATAAGAACCTATTCACTAGGGCCTTGAAGACACCCTGTAGCTGTAGCCAAATGCCATTTAGCGCTTGTCTACATGTAGAATCGAAAACCAAATTGTATGGAATTGACGTAAATTTTGTCACTTGTCAGTGTCATCCCCATACATTTTGATTTCTACTCTCTCTGTAGACAAGCGCTAAAGTGGCGTTTGGCTAAAGGCCCTGGTTATACCCAGAAAACACAGACTTTGGTCAAGAATTCCACTCCTTAGCAGTATGTACAAGAAAGCTTGATGCTAGTATATTAATGGGAAACATTTCGAACGTCATAGGTACCTGTATAGACCATCGCCTGCAGGAACCAGGCATCGCTCCAGGATATGCTCCGTCGCCTCTTTAGATAATCCTCGTGTATGCATCATCAGCTGTTGTGCCTGAAACACCATTTGCCATGCTTTTCATCCCATAAACATAACATAACATATTCCCTTTCCTTCCCTTCGGGGATAAAAGGCGTACAGAGGTGTGCAGAGGTACACATTATGCCACTGCACAATGTAACACCCACTTTTCACTATTTATATTTTGAGTCCCATGTAATAGGGGGTGAGCCTATTGCCATATATCGGGCATAGTTCCAGACTCCGTGCTACCACTGAGATTTTTTTTAAAAACCCAGTAATACTTTGCCCTACCTGGGAATCGAACCCGAGACACCTTGACCGGCAGTCGCACCACTCGGCCAACGAGGCAGTTAATCCCATAAACTCTTGAGTATTTATTGAAAAATTGAAAATAACCCAGTCCTCAATAATATTTTTCCAACGCCAGAGTCGAACCCGAGATCCCTTACTCGCCATTTGCACACGGGCACATAGCAAGGTTCATGGCGAATATCATTTATTTGTTAATGGAGAAGAAGGCAAACGAGCACACGGATCATCTGATGGTAAGCAATAAGCGCCGCGCGCCGCCCATGGACACCCACAACACCAGAGTAGTCACAGGTGCGTTGCCGGCCTTCTTCATTGGCTCTCCCATGTGGTTTTGAACCCCTTACCTTTTCATAACTATATTTCGGCGCAGTCTCCAATCCACTATTGAATTTTTGAAACCTTTCATCATTATACATCAAGTAGTACGTGTGGTACCAATCGTGGAGGCCTTCTCGAGTGAACGGCCATGTATGGTGCGCTGGTATTGGGTCCAGCTCGACTACGCGCGTTATGTGACCTGGGTAGGCTATGTTGAAGATTTTCCCTGGAAAAACAATATTATCTAGGTTCATGATACATCTTTATATATATAATTCTTCTGTGCGTGTGTATGTCACTGAACTTCTCTCAAACGACTGGACCGATTTTAATGAAATTTTTTGTGTGTTCAAGGGGGTCTGGGAATGGTTTGGATTCACAAATCAGCCTGGCAGTTGGCGCTGCCGTCGATGTTTAGGGTACCAGTAATTTGAATGAATTTTTGTTTATACATTCAAGTGGATATGCAGGACAAACGTCTGTTGGGTCCGCTAGTACTAAATATATTATTATGTTTTCGGCTTACTCACGTAATTATTTGACGAGGAACTCGACTCAGAGTAGCAGCGTGACAGTCGCCGCGTCGCGGGTCGCGGAATGCTGCTCATGAATATGAGCCTCTAGCATGGCTAGAAACTAGTCGAGTTCCTCGTCAAATAATTACGTGAGTAAGCCGAAATCATAATAAATTATCTAGGTACAATAGATTTCACGGTTGGCGCACTATAATAATAATATAATAATAAATTCTTTATTGAACACCAATAGATTTGTATATTAGGTACCTACTTTGTGTAAAACTAAGGTACAGAAGTGTTGGCAAATTAATTATTAAACCCTGATTTCCAAACTAGGCAGACCTATATATTGGAAGTCCGTCTTCGACCGTATTTTAAACTTGAGAAAAACAAAAGCCTACGTAAGTTTAGTAGACCAAAAGTAAAACTAGAAGCAAAAAGCAAAAAGAGCATGCAACCATAATATATACATGTTACGTGATGAGACATGAGACATTGTAGAACATACTTTTTTAAAAAGAGTAACGAATGGAGTTTCTTTCTCGTTCTTCTCCATTCGAATCTACTTTTTGGAATGAGCACCTAGCTTCACCTAGTTTCACTGACGGACTGACTGACAGACTATTATTTATTTTGTATTTGTTGACGTTTCAAAAGTACCAAACTATGGTTTAATTGAAATAAATGCTTTGACTTTGACTTTTGACTTTGACTTTGTTTATATACATAGACATTTTATTTATGGCATAAACAAGTAATAATATTTAGATTTAAAGTGAGTGAGTAAGTGTTATGGGCGTTATGAATAAATTGTGTGTTTGTGTGGACTGTGGTGTGTTACCTACTTATCATGTAGGTGATGGACTGTGCAAATGTATCTTGGGCAGTACCGTCTTTCCCATAAAGGCACTCGGGGCCCGTGCCCAGACTCCCCATCCCCAGTAGGCTCCGATGGACCGACAATTTTTACGCCAGCCACACACAATAGATTGGGAGGCAACCGGCTGCTCCGCAACATAATTATTGCAGATTCGATTGCCACATGGAGCAAATCATTATCTGATCCACAAATTGTTTTCCGGTACTAGGTGTTATGTGTATGTGAACTTGTATGTTTGTAAACGCATCCACGACACAGACATGTGTTATCATGTGTAGAACCTTTTCACGCCTTTTGGTTTCCGGCTTCTCAAGAGTTTATATCCGATAGGTAGCCATACGTACGTTAATTAGCTTTCCCAAGTTCTGACGTAATTTGCGGAAGTCAACATCGACCCAGCGGTGGATTAAACCTAGAAAGCGCCCTAGGCAAGTACTGAGAATTTTAATAACCCAGTAATACTTTGCCCGACCCGGGAAACGAACCCGACCGAGACCCCTTGCCCGGCAGTCGCACTTGCGTTGCGACCACCCGGCCAACGAGGCGAGTCGGCTTACTACATGTACCTGACTTGCAAAAACTGGTTTCATATTTAATGCCAACCTTCAAGTAGGTAAGTAAATGGCCAAGAGAGACTAATAATTATTTATTTTTATAGTTTAATTGGTCCAGTATTAAGGTAGAAGAAATATCACGATATTTCTACGTATAGAAATTGATCACGATCGCGAATTGATAAAAGTACGTAAATCGATCGTACGTTGAGCTAACTACCTGCCTGTAAAGTTGAATTATTGTCTACTTAAATACCTGATTTAAACCTACATTAACATAACGTCTCGCGTTTTATCCCCGAAGGGGTATGCAGAGGTGCATATTACGGCACTTAATGCCACTGTACAATGTAACACCCACTTTTCACTGGAATCCAGTCTGGAATAGTGCCCGGTATAATGGCAATAGGCTCACCCCCTATTACATGGGAGTGGGACTCATAACATAAATAGTGAAAACTGAGTTTTTCATTATATAGACTACTATAATGAAAAACCCACTTTTCACTATTTATTTACTACCAAGTAAGTGTCGTAATGTGCACCTCTGCCTACCCCTTCAGGGATAAAAGGCGTGAAGTTACGTGAGGTTTGATGTAAATAAATAAAATGTTAAAGTAAGTAGGTTTGAAACAAAAAATAACTCAACTTACCAATAGGAACGCCAAGGGAATGCCCAATATAAATGAACTTGTCCCATTTGAAGTGATCTTTAACCTTCACTATAGTCGGTACCAGATCGACAACAGTATACCGGACTCCTTTGGGCAGATGATCTGACTTCCCATTCCCTGGTAAGTCTATGCTTAGGTAGAAGAAGCAGGTCGGTAATCTGGAGACGAGGGGTCGGAAACCAGAGCTTACATCCAATTTCCCGTGGCACATAATTACTGGTGGATTTGAGGGGTCTCCCCAAGCTAATGCTGTGGAAAAAATTGTAGTTTAGTATCACTACATAGTATAAAACAAAGTCGCTATCCGCCGTCTGTCTGTCCCTATGTATGCTTAGATCTTTAAAACTACGCAACGGATTTTGATGCGGTTTTTTAATAGATAGAGGGAATCTTAAGAAAGGTTTATACGTATAATTCATGCATATTGAACCCGTGCGTAGTCGGGGCGGGTCGGTAGTTAGTATCATAAACCGAAGAGACCAAGTCGTTTTCCGCTGTTTGTCTTTATGTTATGGTTAGATCTTTAAAACTAGTTAACGCATTTGATTCAGCAACCGTTCTGCTGCGCCCGATTCGCTACTGGACTGTTCGTCGACAGGACGATCCATTTATTTCCGTTTCCACAACAGGATCTTTTACCTGTGGACATTTTGCCCACAGAACCTTTCATATGCGTCACTTTCGTTCGGCGACAGCCCTTTTCACGTTCCAAGTGTTTCACCGACACAAAGATAAACCTAACTATAGCTCTTTTAGCTACAGACTTTTCATCTACGACGGCGAATTCGCCGTCAATCTTAAGACAAGCAGTATTACAAAAAATGCACATTTTTTAAGGAATAGGAGGCAAACGAGCAGACGGATCACCTGATGGTAAGCAATCAGCGTCTCCCATGGACACCCGCAACACCAAAGGAGTCACAGGTGAGTTGCCGGCCTTTTAAAAAGGAGTACGCTCTTTTTTGAAGGTTTAAAGGTTCGGAAATACCGCCGACGACAGATCATTCCACAGTTTTGCTGTGCGAGGCAGGAAGCTACGTGAACTACATATTTGTCTATAGCTTTCTGTAAAAGATCCTGTTGGGGCATCGGAATTAAATGAATCGTCCTGTCGAAGAACAGTCCAGTGGTAAATCGGTCATAGGAGAACGGTTGCTGAATTCGAGGGAGGAGATCGGGATTTTTTCACCAAAACCGAAAATGTTAAATATCTCAGAAACTAGCCACTTTCAGACCAGAGACCTCAGGGTTATTTTATTGGAAATTAGTTTTATTATCACCTCTCAAGAGGAATACGTCGAGTTACAAGTCACCCTGTAGAGGTATAGTAAGCACTACATAATAATTAATAATAATTTAAAATATTATTGAATACACACCTGCAATATTACCCCATGGCGCTTTTATCGAATATTCCTGCTCCTTCAATCGCAATGCACCTTTCATTGTCCTAAAAACACAAACAATTTTGCCTTTTATCACTAAAAACAAACTTTGCCCAGCTAACGACAACACTGAATTTAGTACTATTTTTCTAACTAGATGGCGTTACCATCTTAAAATACACAAAACAAAACAAAAATAACCTTTGTTATAACGAAATGTGCGATTTTCTTTTATTTGTTTATAAATTCGAATGTTGAACGTCCATATTTTGACACATTCATACGAAACTAAATCCAGTTATCGTCTGAAGGTCAATAGATTGTATTTTTTATGTAATTCAATTCAACATAAAGGTCACAATGTCACAGACGACTAAGTAAAAATAACACTTAAAATTATCAAAAATGGCGGAAATAGGTAATTTTTCAGTCATTTAAGAAAGAATGATGAATATAGACAGTTACTTACGTGTGGATTCCTTTCAATATTTTGGACAATTTCATATTTGACAGCGACGAGTCTTATCGAAAGTTATCTATCATAAATGGCCTTGAAGAATGAATTACCTAACTAATTCACAGCATGTTTATATATATATACAAAATACGAAATGTGTTTAATAAGGCATTAGTTTTAATGCCTCCGTGTATGTCAGTTTTGTGTCAGATATTATAATATTTTTAAATAGTTTTACATCTTGTAAGTAGATTAATAATGAATAATAGTAATTAGGTATACCTTTACCAATATATAAAAAAACGTAATTAGGAATGGTTTGTTTGTCTGAATGAGTGCATATTATTTGTTTTAATTATTACTAGCGACCCGGCCCGGCTTCGCACGGGTGCAATATGCTTGTATTATACAAACAAAATACATACAAATCTTCCTTCTCTGCAATCTCTTTGAGTACCGTAATTATAGACACAATTAAAGAAAAATAGGTTGCGGTCACAGTTTAAGAATCACTCTATCTATCAAAATAAACCGCATCAAAATCCGCTGCGTAGTTTCAAAGATCTAAGCCTACATAGGGACAGACAGACTGCGGATAGCGACTTTGTTTTATACTATGTTGTGAAGTACTTACTAATTAATGTTAGGAGAACCGCAAGCTTTCTCATCAAGCTCCTGATGGTATGCGGACATCGTAGCTCAACTATATCTGCAACATCAGAGCAACCACAAGCAGGACCGTCTTAAGCTACGCTGGGGCCCATGGGAACTCAGCAATGGGGATGACAGGGTATGAAAATTAAAAATCTAATTAGTCCGTAAGTTAGGTAATTAAAAAATATAGGACACGTATTTTTTTATTTTGTCGTATAATAAAACAATACTTAGATAAAACGAATCAAAGTTTAGGAGTGGGGGCTAAAACGTCATTTCTCAGTATAAAATGTACTGAGAAGTGACGTCACGCGACATTTCAAATCAATATATCTTCGAAACTATTCGTTTCCGTAAGAAAATAAAAAATACGTGTCTAATGTTTTTAAATAATCTACCAGACGGACATTAAAATAAAAATTAGTCGTCTACCCTATTCGCGGCCATAATAAGTACGAACTTAAAATAACTATGCTACCGTTTTTGCGCTCAGAGGGCGCTGCAGTTGAATAAACTCCTGTCCAGTCTTGTCATAATTTTCATAAAGTTTTTGGAACAGTGAAATCATGCCTAGTGTATGACTATAGGCTCATCCCATATTCAGGCCCGTTTTAGACTACGCTGGGGTCCTTGAGCAGACAAAAGATCGTGGGCCTTTTGGAATGTTTCTTTTTTAACATTGTATAGCACACTAGGATTTTCTCCTGTGTCGTGGGTGAGTTTACAAAGATGTAGGTACCTACTCCGTGCGAACCCGCTAGAACCGGCTGCCGCACAGCTTGTAGCTGTGTAGCCGTCGTACAAATTGTACGTCCTTCAGGGCTCCCGAGGTTAGGGGCCCTGGGCACGGGCTCCGAGTGTCATTATGTCAAAATGAGTACTGATCACGAGTGCGTTGCCGGTCTTGTACAAAAATTTTCATTGGCATCATTGCCGTGAAGGTTGGCGTCCTAAAAATTATGAGACAATCAAAACCCGTTGAAATCCATCCCCTAAATTTGTTCATTCAAAAGTAGTCTCTAAACATTGGAAATAAGGTCTATAATGTAAAGTAATGTTAGTGGAGAGCGGTCACCGGTGACCGCTTGGGGATATATGGGCCCCAACCCGAAAGTATTTCTTTAAAACTCTTACGTCTGGGTACGTACTGTTAGATTTTGATATGGTAAGTTCTCTTGTTAAAGAGAACACTGCAGTTCGTAGAACAAAATTACTTTTATTTAAACTTCACAAATTTATAGGTACATATACATATATCTTTATATTACCTATATATATAATTCTTCTGTGAGTGTGTATGTCACTGAACTTCTCTCAAACGACTGGACCGATTTTGATGAAATTTTTTGTGTGTGTTCAAGGGGATCTGGGAATGGTTTAGATTCACAAATCAGCCCGGCAGATGGCGCTGCAGTCGATTTCTAGGTTAGTTATCCCAAACGGCTGAACTAATTTGAATGAATTTTTGTTTACACATTCAAATGGATATGCAGGACAACGTCTGTCGGGTCCGCTAGTATATACATATAATTTCAAGTGGGACTCGCGAGTGCACGGGATTGTAGATGGAATTCGACTGACTGTTTTTGTATAGGACGGGGTTGTATACATTTGAGGCGAGGAGTGAAGTGTCAGCACTGACACGGGGATAAGGGTGTGATATTCCTTTGGTATAACAGTACGTAGCGGTTTTATCAGAGGCGCCGGACGATAAGTGGCGCCGTAGCACAGGTCGCAGGCCGCGACGCCCCTTTTCGTCCGGTGCCTCTCTCTTATCCTTACTAGTCCTTACTAATATTATAAATCGGAAAGTGAGTTTGTTTGTTTGTTCCGCTTTCACGCCGTAACTACTAAACCGATTGCTTTGAATTTTTGCAGACGTAAAGTTAGAAGTCCGGATTAAATAATAGGGTACTTTTTATCCCGGAAAATTTTGATATTTCCGAGGGAAAACAAAAGTATTAGTACAGATGGCGTTGTTTGTATTGGTATATGTCACAGGCTACTTTTTATCTTTTTGTGACGCGAGCGAAGCCGCGGGTAAAAGCTAGTTCTATATAATTTCTCTTTATAGGTAGTCCCTTCGCTTATTTTTTCAACATTCTCTTGGACGCTACATCAATTTCAGTTTGAATGGGAAAAGTTTTAAATGTTTAGATGGTTATTTCATTGTACCTATTGCGTTTCTTCGTATGCCACTTGAATTGCAGTTAGGGGGCACTAAAAATCTCGTTCAGGGCGCTAGTAGTTCTGAAACCGGCACTGTACATACCTAACTACTAGTTGTAAAGCAGCATTGCGCCTTTTGAGAATTGGTAATTTGAGGATTCAGGGATTGGGGAGATTGGGAAGGGGAGGGGGCTATTTGGAGTTCTGGTAACCTCACTTACACGACGTGTTTGACGTCTGTTTTCTGCTCGGCCGTGGTATCACTCCGGTCGAGCCGACCCATTCGTGCCGAAGCATGGCTCACCCACACTACACTCTGGGTTTAAATCACCTCTGCCATTACAGAATAATCGACGCAAAATAAAAACACCATATACAAGTAACATCTTCATAAACACGTTAAAAATGTCAAATACATCAATAAATAGATAAAATCATAAATATTATTACGTCATAACGGCCTATCGATGTGAAAACAATCGAACAACGCCACCAAGTTAACAATGCAGGTGAACAAAATTGGAATTAACGAAACGTTTAACATTTTCTTCTTAGAAATAAGAAAGTGCTGAAGAAACTAGCGCCGCGGTCAACTGTAGTTTAATTTGGTTTTGTTATTATTTAATATTATCATCATTACGTTGTTCATAATGTTATCGATGACAATATTTGATAAAGTTAATAATCCATTTATAAGTTTTTCCCGCGATTTTGCTTCGTTTTCTTGTTATATTGTTAAGATATTGTGCTAATTACATAACATAACATCACGCCTTTTATCCCCAAGTGTACCTTCCTACCCCAAGGTAGCCAGTGGTGCACATTACGGCTCTTGATACCACTGTACAATGTAACACCCACTTAACAAAAAAATACGAGTTACTTAAATATACTGAGAGAAGCTCTACTAGTTTCGGGTTACAGAGAGACTCTTCCTTATGAGTAGCGTGCGCGTATTCTTTGTTTCACTATTTATGTTATGAGTCCCATGTAATAGAGGGGGAGCCTATTTTTTTTTAATAAGAGGAACAGATACATTTTGTGCAATAGGGCAATAATCCAAGAATGCAACCCACAACACTGTCCACAGGTTGCCTCATTGGCCGTGTGGTCGCAAGTGGGACTGTCCGACAAGGGGTCTCAGGTTCGATTCCCGGGTCGGGCAAAGTATTTTAAAAAAAATCACAGTAGTAGCACGGAATCTGGAATTGTGGCTGGTATACGGCAATAGACTCACCCCCTATTACATGAGACTCATAACATAAATACTGAAAAGTGGGTGTTACATCGTACAGTGGCATTAAGTGCCGTAATTTGCACCTCTGCCTACCCCTTCGGGGTAAAAAGCGTGATGTTATGTTGTGTTATGGATGTGTGATAAATTTAAATTTAAAAGTGTCATATTAAGTAAACTCTATTGTAAAGCATATAAAATAAAAGACTACTTAGATGATAGTCAGACTTGGAAATAAGCAGCTTTAACGTTTACACGGCTCATATTGACATGATTGTAACATATGATTGAGCTGTTGATTGAGTTAATTATAAACCGACACATGTGTACTGCCTTCAGAACGGGTCCGCTCAAACTGTTGTAGTTCTTTCCTCAAAAGGCCACTACAGAAAGAACTTGCACGGTTCTCACACATAATCTGTTATACATATTGTCTGGACTTTAAAAGAGACGGACCTCTGAGTTTGTTTCGGCATTTCTTCTCAGAGTAGTCAGTTAGGAAATGTCGACCTCATCGTTCGCTTGATAAAATTGACGTGTAAAAGTGCTGCCTTGTAGCCTATTTGCAGAAATAAATTCACTTGTTTCACTTGTCACTTGTTTCACTATGGCTACATTTTTTATTCACTTTGACAGTACCTATAATTTAATGTGACAATGTTTTTTATTTGACTTTCTTTTTTTGTTACTTTGTCGGCATCATTGTTCGCTTAAAAAAATTGACATGTAAATGTACTGCCTTGTAGCCTATTTGCAGACATAAATTCAATTGGTTGACAGGGTATGAAAATTAAAAATCTAATTAGTCCGTCAGTTAGGTAATGAAAAAATATTAGACGTGATTTTGTTTTTATTTTGATATTTACCTTTCACAGACTACTTAGAGATACTACGTATTTACCTATAATAAAACAATACTTAGATAAAACGAATCAATGTTTAGGAGTGGGGGCTAAAACGTCATTTCTACGTATAAAATGTACATAGAAGTTACGTCACGGGACATTTCAAATCAATATAACGTCAAAAGTATTCGTTTCTGTAAAAAAAATAAAATACGTGTGTAGCTAATGTTTTAAAATAAGTAATCTACCAGACGGACATTAAAATAAAAATTAGTCATCTACCCTATTGTTTTATTTGAAGAACTGTGAAATATTCAAAATTTGATTTTTTATTTATTAAGGGCGAATTTTTTATTGTCCATATAAATTTTAAATTAAGAATAACATTGAAAGTTTTACAATTCTTCCTTATGACTAAAATTGGTGCCTTTCTTTTTTCTGGCGGCAGTCGATGATTTATGGAAAACATTATTTAGAATGAGATTACAAACGAAATTGTCTATGGGCTCATATATGGAAATCTCAGTCTGGACTGAGTTATGAGCTTTAAAAGGAGCTGGAATCAAACATTTTACTTTCGTTTTTTCTTCAAATTATTCATATTTTTGTCACAATTCCTAACTTCAAATTGCGCGCCACTGTACGCCGGGCACAGAAACACCAAATCACACCACAATATATCCATATTGCCAGTCGCTAATTTTTATTATCTATTTTCTCTTAGTCGATAACTTGTGGGATGCTTCTAGGAGTTGTGTCATGAAGCTTCATGAGTGTCAGCTGTGGTACCAGTGGTGGGTTGAGTAGTTGTAGCCGTCGAAACATCTAATAAAGTATTTTTTTGCCGTTGACTCCTGGTGGGAGACTCATCTACTTTATAGTTAGCATAATCTTTTGAAGAAAGCAAACCGTCGACTTTGTAAAGTGATGGAATATACCTACGTCAGATGAGCGCATAATTTTTTTACATAATGTGATCATTCGAAATGCATCACTTTGTGACTGAATGACGTGTCTTTGTACAGAATCGTATGCTAGATGTAGATCAAAGTATTAACTGTAGTTAGATTAGTCACTAATCGGAACTAGGTAAGTCGGGAGAAGTAGACAGAAAAATGATTTTTTCGTGTTTTGATGACTGTTACTACTCAATCCGCTACCGACGCCGCAACTGACAAACATAGCATTTCATGATAGGGCTCAGTAAAGTATTTTGCGGGTTTTTGACTGAGAGGAAATTGATCATGAAAATCTGTCATAGGCCATAAACCGTATACATATAAATTGAACACGTTAGCCAATCAAACGAAATGTTTTCTTTTTCTTCAGCAGTGGTCAGTTAATGGTTCACTCTGTTCTGATTCCATGGCCTTATAACAAAAAAATAAATAAATAAATAAAAACAAAATACCCGACTGCACACTAAAAAAAGAGTAAAACAAGCCCCACAATAATATTGATCAATCAAATGCTAAAAACTAATTATGTAATACCGTTTAAACAATACCTATATTAAAATACACTACAATATGTGTTCGTAATCGATAGTTAAATAAACAGAAACTTATTTTGAATACAAATTTACTGAATATAATTTATAAATGTTGATGGAAAGCATCGCAGGCGGGGACCAACAGAGGCTTATTTATAGTCATTTCGGTTGTGCACCATTTAGCAGAATTTTCGTTGGTGGCGGTCAAGGTGGTCCCCGCCTGCGATGCTTTCCATCAACATTTATAAATTATATTCAGTAAATTTGTATTCAAAATAAGTTTCTGTTTATTTAACTATCGATTACGAACACATATTGTAGTGTATTTTAATATAGGTATTGTTTAAACGGTATTACATAATTAGTTTTTAGCATTTGATTGATCAATATTATTGTGGGGCTTGTTTTACTCTTTTTTTAGTGTGCAGTCGGGTATTTTGTTTTTTTAATAATAATTTTTTTATTTATAACTTTTTAGCTGTTTTTATTTAACGAAAATGTTGTAGATGTAGAAGACTATCGTCAACGACGTGTGCCCTCATGCGTGTGCCCGCAATCGGGCTGTATACTCGAGCATATCCCCCTCCGCACCGCGCCGCGCGCCGCATGCCAGGCCACGCCCTATCTTTTTGCTTGCTAACGCATGAGTTGCTTTGCGTTGACGCAGAATTAACATGTTGCCGTGGGAATTTTGAGAAAAAACGTATCCTATATTAATTACTCCCGTGATTGAAATGAATCTAATGATACCGCATACATATTTTTTTAAAGGGAAATTTAGAAAAAATATTATTATGTCTTTATCCCGTGGGACTTTTAGGATAAAATGTATCCTATGACACTCCCGTAATCAAGACAAATCTAACGATACCTCATACATCAAAATCCATCAAGCCGTTTAGGCTACAGGTGGTCACAAAGGAAAAGACATACATACATACTTACATACACTCGAAAAACATTACCCTCCTTCTTTGGCAGTCGGGTAAAAACAAATATAACAAACAAAAAAAAATAAGTAAAAAGTACACAATAAGCTTTATTATATTCTTTGATATCGTCTATAAACATTTATTACCAAATATTTCTGACAAGTAAATGAAGAAATATGCGTTGTGTACGGTCACCATCAACAAATTCACAGGAATTATATAGCACTATTTTCACATCTTTGAACTGATTTAACTCGGTTCGGACTGTGTTTTTGGTATAAGACCCCATACATTTTTTTGTTTGTAATGTTATTCTGCATCAGTTTATCCACATCCGATCAACTGCCGCGAAAAAATGAAAAGGCACCACGCTCCATACAAATTTGGTCATTGTCATTTGGTCATTGTCATTTGACTAGTTGGCAAATACCCAAAAATGTGCAACCCTTTAATGGTCTCAGTAAACAAAAGAAAATACACTAGGTGTATTATGTTACTGGGAGCTACTTGATACTTTTAAAGCTTTATCTAGTTTCTACAAAGACTGTTATCAACTCAATTTCTTATTACACACGTATAATATGAACTTAAATGGCTATATCTATGATTTATTATGTAATTACAGATAAGTATGTCACGCCATTCTGATGATACTACTGTTTAAAGTACCTAATAAAAGATTGAAATCAATTGTATTTGGCCTTATAGAACATTAATTGTTTAAAATTAAAATACATATAGTGAAGGTTATGTGCCCGGTATATGACAATACGCTCACCCCCTATTACATAGAACTCATAACATAAATAGTGAAAAGTGGGTGTTACATTGTACAGTGGCATTAAGTGCCGTATTATCCACCTCTGCTTACCCCTTCGGGGGTTAAAGGCGTGATGATACGTTACGTTATGTTCATCTCATTTAGCTACTTAAATAGTAAATAAACAACGTTGCAAACATCAAATACGGTGAACAAATATAGTTCTTGCTAAATATTTCGGGGTACTAGTGCATAAAAATATTTTCAATCTTTCACGCATTACAAAGAAAGTAAGAAAAAAAGTAAATGCATTACGTTTAGAATACCTTGTTCAGTGTTCAACTCAACTTTTTAATGTTATCTGTGCTTGCTTGCTTACTTTTAGATTTGACGTTTCACTTCATAGTGACAGCTCGCTTTGTTTTGCTCGCTCGTACTCAATAGTACTTACTTTTGTAAATTATTTAAATTTAAATAATATATCTAACTAAAGGTTAATGTGAATATTCAAATTATTAAACTACATTGCAATTTACACATATTCCAGTGCTATATACTATTGAAAAATAATTGCAGGAGCGAAATCGTATTTACTTTTAAAATCAACGCAAAGTTTATTTAAATATGGATTTACTGGAAAATGAATGGTATATTCAAGCTCCTTGGGGCAGAATAGCGAGTAAGTATACACATTTACAATATTACTTTACAAAAATCCTAGATTTTAGTGCTAGATAACGGTAATTTGACAAAAACGACCTTTGAACTGGAAACTCAGTTTTAAATTATCTCACTTATCAGATAACTTATTCAAATGAGGTTTTCCTGTACCTTGATCTTTGATCTTGTAAATTAGGCTTCGTACGATTGTAATTCGCGCGTTTTTTTCTAAGTTCTAAATTTTAATAGTAATAAAAAAAACTGCAAATCAATACTTTTTTGTCACATTCACAATATTCCAACAGGTTGTTGCTGTTGGTTGTTTATTGCTCTTTTAAACTGTCAAACACCAAGCGGTCACCGGTGACTGCAACCTATTGTTCTTTAATTGTGTCTATAAATACGGTACTCGACGAGTTAAACTGTCAAACACCGCGAGGACACCGGTGACCGCAACCTTTTGTTCTTTAATTTTGTCTATAATGATGATGGTCAGAGTATAGCAAAGGGTGTGCAAGAGATTTGAGACTTAGAAAAATATTCATCAAAAATGAAATTTCTTTTATATGGCTATTGTTTTTCCATTGTTTAGTATACCTAAAAATAAAGCAAAAATAATTTGGGCACTTTCTGTCTACGACTTCAGGTTCACCTAAAAATGAGCCCTAAAAGTCAGTTGGCCGAGTATGAAAAAAAGTCCGAAACTCCTTGCACACCCTTTACTACACTCAACCCTCTCTAAGAGAGCCATCCTAAAGAATCTATTCTATCTATTAAGTAATTAAATTAAATCCTAAAGAACTTATCGGTTTTATTTATTCGTAACATAACATCACGGATGTTATCCCCGAAGGGGTAGGCAGAAATGTACACTGTAGTAACACCCACTTTTCACTATTTATGTTATGAGTCCCATGTAATAGGGGGTGAGCCTATTGCCATATACCGGACACAATTCTAGACTCCGTGCTACTACTGAGAAATTTAAAAAACCCAGCAATACTTTGCCCGACCCGGGAAATGAACCTGAGACCCCTATCCCGGCAGTCGCACTTGTAACCACTCGGCCAACGAGGCAGTCAAATTTAGTCAAGAAGTCAGTTTTATTTATTCTTAAGGCATTATTTGTCTGTCTATATTATTTTTACAGCAACAATATTACAAAAGAAATCTATCAATGACTCCTTACTCATAAGTGTGACCTGCCAAGCCAGTCTCAGGTTCGAATCCTAAGTTGGTCAATGTCATTGGTTTTCTTTTAATATTTGGAATATTACTCTGTTATATTTTCTTTGTCAACATCCTTCCAAATTGAAATACAGGACTACATTTACAATAAGATAATTTTAAATTTACTACTAAGATAAATAAAGAGCTAGCAGCATAGATTGTGTATCTACCTAGTAACCAACTTATTTTTTTGAAAATTATGTTGTTGATAAAAAATTATCTTTGCTCATACATAATGTTTAATATCTATTTTGTGAGATATTCACTGAGTCATGTTCAGTTGACATTTATTTATAACTAGCTTTTTTTTTTCTTTCTTCTTTGGCAACCGGCAACCGAGTCTCCAATACGATGTTGTCGACTATACTGCCAGTGTCGGGTGGTGACGGCAGATTAATGAGCCGTCGAAGTTAACTTTGCGGTAGTTTTTAGTAGTTAGTAGCTGAAAGGACAAAACAATTGGGTTAGTAAACATATAAATATTAACAACTATTTTACTGTATGAGTACAGGGGTGTAGAAAATAGTTGAGGGGACGTACACAATACAGACACACAGATATATACACAATTTACATAAATGTCACCGTCATAGTTTAATCTACATAAACAATGGATTAATTAGGGGAAAAGTGAGTTAAAAGGATAACTAGCTTTTACCCGCGGCTTCGCTCGCGTCACAAAAGGATAAAAAGTAGCCGATGTGACATATACCAATACACACAGCGCCATCTATACCAATACTTTTGTTTTCCCTCGGGAATATCAAACTTTTCCGGGATAAAAAGTACCCTATTATTTAATCCGGATTTCCAACTTTACGTCTGCAATTCAAAGCAATCGGTTTAGTAGTTACGTCGCGAAAGTGGGACAAACAAACAAACAAACAAACTCACTTTCCGATTTATAATATTAGTAAAGATTATAGTAAACTCGGTATTGTAACCGTTTTCGCAAACCATGACTAAACCATCTCTTAACTAAATGTCACTTAGCGTGATATAGCACTTAGCCTTTTACTTATACTTACTGTTAGATGTCACTTATGGACTGCCTCATTGGCCGAGTGCTCGCAAGTGCGACTCAGGCAAGAAGTCTCGGTTCGAATCTCAGGTAGGGTAAAGCACTAATGGGTTTCTTTAAAATTCTCAATAGTAGTACGGAGTCTGCGCCCGGTATTTGGCAATAAGCTCACCCCCTATTACACGGGACTCATAATTAGTGAATAATGGGTGTTACATTGTACAATGGCATTAACTGCCGTAGGTAATGTACACCTCTGCCTACTCCATCAGGGATAAAAGGTGTGATGTTATGTAAAAAAATTCCACCATAAAATAACATATCCTTCAAATCTATTCTTGTTTTTCGTTCCAGTAATAGCATGGGGCAACTGCTACGACCCTCCTGTGTTGCTATGCCATGGGAGTGTAGACTCTGCAATCGGCTTCAGACCACTTATCAGCAAACTGCCCAAGAACTTCTATTATATTGGTAAGTGTTTCTATGTTTTTTATACTCCAGCATAATTGGGTCATAGGTCAGCTCCACCGGAGTGATACCATGAAATCTGGTGTGTGAGTGAGAAACTGGAATCCCCATCTCGCTCCAGAACTGCTAGTAGTGATCTGTTTGCGTACGGATGGAAGGAGATTTTATCGGAATGCCTGAAGTACTGCGAGAGGCACTTATGAATGGTACCATTTTTTAAATAAATTTTACTTTTCTGATTCGTTGTGTATGTTTTGTTCTAGTTTTATTGTTTGATCGTTTATTTTATTAATGTGTCCAGTTACTTTAATTGGTTTTTGTTTTCAACCGTTGTGACTGTAATAAATACTTAAATAAATTAATAAATAGTATCTTATCCATGGGCGAATCTGATGCTTACCATCAGGTGATCCGTCTGCTTATTTAATGTCACCTTATACCATAAAATATATGCTACTTTAAACACATTTTGAGACAGAATAAAGTTCACCGAGTCAACTATTATTTTAAAAATTATTACCTATTTAGTTTCAGTCGCTAAGATATTGTTTTTAGAAAGAGATTTTTTGTTGTATTGTTAGTGCAATGGCCTGGATGATTGAGCTAAACAACTTTTTGCTAGTAATTTTGGAATTTCCATGAAAAAAATGCACTTTGACACACCTGACCCGACGAGTCCACCGAACTCAATTTTTGCAATAGCATGTGTTTCCACTTATAAATAAAATATATGATTGACATATAATTTTAAACTTAGTTTTAGTAGGTGTTTTTTAGCTATCTAGCTATCATAAAAAATCAATAGAAAATTTGTCATTTTACTATTTGAAAAAACGCACCTAATCTTTATATATATATATATATATATTTATATATATATATATATATAATTCTTCTGTGAGTGTGTATGTCACTGAACTTCTCTCAAACGACTGGACCGATTTTATGAATTTTTTTGTGTGTGTTCAAGTTCAAGGGGATCTGGGAATGGTTTAGATTCACAAATCAGCCCGGCAGATGGCGCTGCAGTCGATGTTTAGGTTATTTATCCTAAACAGCTGAACTAATTTGAATGAATTTTTGTTTATACATTCAAGTGGATATGCAGGACAACGTCTGTTGGGTCCGCTAGTAAAGTATATAATTAGATTTGTTAGAACTTGAAAAGTACTTTATTCGTTAGATGAACATAATCAGGTAATATTATTTTTTACAATGTTATTGTTAATTCCAGGTGTGGATCTACCAGGTAATGGGAAATCGGACAGGCTACCACCAGGTCTGATGATCAGTGTGTCGGACATGGCATACGCTATCAATGTCGTAGCTAGACATTTTAGATGGAAGAAATTCACTTTTATTGGACATTCATTTGGAGCGTTTTTAGGTAAGATATTTATATTTCAACTAGCTTTTACCCGCGGCTTCGCTCGCGTCACAAAAGGATAAAAAGTAGCCTATGTGACATATACCAAAACACACAGCGCCATCTATACCAATAATTTCGTTTTTCCTCGAGAATATCAAATTTTTCCGGGATCAAAAGTACCCTATTATTTAATCCAGACTTCTAACTACACATCTGCAAAAATTCAAAGCAATCGGTTTAGTAGTTACGGCGTGAAAGTGGAATAAACAAACAAACTCACTTTCGGATTTATTTATTTATTTAAATAAATAAACTTTCCGATTTATAATATTAGTAAGGATAAATAGGCAATATTTCAATAAAAGCACTTGTCAGAATTCTTAAAAATCACGATATTTATTTAAACGCAACGTCATTACAAAACGAACAAGCAATGAGAAAAAGAACAGCGCCTCTATCAGCAGATAACGAAAACTTCTTACATACCTCTACATAGACAACTTGACAACTTTATAAACTTATTTTTCAACAATATTTAATTTAATTGACAGGACCTAAGGCTTTAGTACGAGTTTGATTTACGTTTAAAGTATTCGAAACGAGTACGCTTTCGGCATTCTGATTGGCCGGCGCCTTTTTTTTATTTATTTATTTTTAAGGGGCGAAAATCATCGAATGACTGCTCCCGCCTGGGTGAGGCGAAAGGGAGTGTCAGACTCTTACTGACTAAAAACCACCCCGTTCCTTCTCCTGCACGTCGAGCCGGAGCCCCGGTTACCCGTTAGGTTCTCCGCGATTGGCCGGCACCAATGAAGCAACCAATCAGAGCGCCGAACGCGTACTCGTTACGATTAATTTAAACGTAATACAAACTCGTACTAAGCTGTCTGGACTGTCTTGTTGGTCGAGTGGTCGCAAGTGCGACAGCTGTGCAAAGTATTACTGGGTTTTAAAACATTCTCAGTAATAGCACGGAGTCTGGAATTGTGCCCGGTATATGGCAATAGGATCACTTCCTATTACATGGGACTCATAACATAAATAGTGAAAAGTGGGTGTTACATTGTACAGTGGCATAATGTGCACCTCTGCCTCTGCCTTCGGGGATGGTGTATTATGTGAAGACAGGTCCGTATTATGACAAGTGCATAGGGCGCCAGGTTACTGAGCCAATAAAGTAACGGTGGCGCCTAAAAAAATAGGGCGCCCATGAGGGGCTTGCCTATAGCACTCGCTGGGTTTTATCCTCTGCCGGAAAGGAAACCCCTCACATCTTTTTTTGAGAAAGAAAATCGTCCAATGACTTCTCCCGCCTTGGGTGAGAGAGAGAGAGAGTGTCAGACTCTTACTGACTAAACATCACCCCGTTCCCACTCTTGCTTCGAGCCGGGTCCCGGTATTTTGGCGACTATCTACAATATGATAGGGTAGTCGCCAGGGTATGAAAATTAAAAATCCAATTAGTCCGTCAGTTTTATGAAAAATATTAAACAAGTATTTTTTTATTAGCTCTTATAAAGTTACAATACTTAGATAAAATGGCGTTAAGTTTAGGCGTGGGAGGTCGTTACGTCACAACGTGCTACAAAATGTTGCACGCACGTTACAGGATATTTCAAATTAATATATCGTCGAAAGTATTTAATTTTGTGAGAAAAGAAAAAATATGTGTCTAAAGTTTTAAATTAATCTAGCAGACGGACATTAAAATAAAATTTAGGAAACTACTTCATTACCCCTTGCCGCTGCTGCGTTCGATTGCCATCAGATCATCGCATCAAAGTTTTAGGTTTTTTTAATAATGTTTTTTTTTGATTGCGTTATCTTCCCAGTGACTAGCTGCTGTGCACTGTGACTGTGTTTGATTCCCGCACACAATGTAAAGGAGATCATTATTTTAGTCTTTTCTGAAACGAATGAAGTAGCAGTTGGAACGAGGTGTTTTAGTTAGTAACAGTCTGGCATTCCCTCCCACTTCCCCAAGACGAGAGGAGTCGTTTAATGATAGTTCAAATAAAAAACTACAACAAATTCTTTTCGCATTACAATCACCATTACCTCAGATACTTTATTCTAGCAATATCAACCATTGCTTTAGAAAGTAATAAATGTATGAATATGATGAATATTCGAAGTGGTATAACTTCTTGATTGTGGATCCCACAACTTTAAGCCAATATTAACTTTTCCAGATAGCTCCAGATGGCTAGATCAGTCTCTAACACGATAATAATGTTTGTGTAATTAAATATTATGGAACATGAACATGTAATATAATTTAATGACAAATAAACTACTAACGATACGTACCATTTTTTTCGTTGGCCTTTTTTCGTTGACTTTCAAATTAGGCCCAAAAATTTATGTAGCCGAACTGATCTCCTTTTGTTTTTATAATTACAGGTCAGCATTTCAATTTATTTTACCCAGGAAGATTGAATAAACTGATCAACTTGGACCCCATCAATTTCTTTGCGATACCACCCCAGGATTTCGCTAGATGGTACGTATGCATTGATTATGATTAATTAATATCTATCTTATCGAATAATCGCGGGTTACTCACGTGAATATACTGAGAAAAGCTCTACTAGTTTCGAACCACCACCTATAAGAAAGTACTGGATCTAAGAAGCTGACACTTAGCATATGATCTTTGAGAAGTGTATGGGAGCACTAAGTGAGGTTTTCCGAACGGGGAAAGCGGGAATCACCTGCATGTACTTAATAAGTTGCTGGAAGAAAACTATTTGATAGATAAATATAGGGTGAAATCATTTAATTATTTTACACATTCAAATATTGAATGTAAGGTTCAAAGGTTTCATAAATGCATTAATTTTGAAGCTATTCATACTTTTTGGCTGAACCGATTTTGGTGGTGTTTAGAAAAGTGTTTGTTATACTCAGGAGAAGGTTTTGGTATATTAATTACCGACTTTTAAACAAGAGGGAGTTGACGACGGCTTTGTTAGCACTACTACTGTTAATGAATTATATATTTTTTTTTTAGCTATATTCAATTTTTTTCAGGTACCACTCGCGTTTCACAGACTTCTACAAGAATTATGAAAAATTTAATACTCCAGTCAAAGATGGGCCGAAGGTCAAGTGGACAGAGGTGAGTTTCAATAAAGGGAGGGCTAATATTTATATTACTTTAATGTAATGTGTGTATGTATGTGTTGTGTGTGTCTGTGTGTGTGTGTGTGAAGTGAAATCTTGCAACTGAATTTTTAATGAACTCAATCGGTTAATTACCCCGAGCTGAAATTTTGTATAGACGTTAAGTTTGAATGTCGTGGTGGCCCGGAGGCTTAAGAGCTCGCTTCTCATGCATGATGCGGGGTCGAAATCTACCAACGGCAAGCACCAATCTACTTTTTTCTGATTTATATGTACTTTCTAAGATCATTTAAACACCACTAACAAACGGTGAAGGAAAACATCGTGAGGAAACCTAGACTTATAATTTCTAATTATAAGTTTGTAATCGCCAACCCGCATTGAGCAAGCGTGGTGATTAATGCTCACTCCTCCGTCTGAGATGAGGCCTTTGGTCAGCAGTGGTCACTTATAGGCTGTTGATATGTTGTGTGTATGTACCTAACTATGAATGTGTGTATGTGTTCGTGCGTGTGTGTGAGTGTGTGTGAAGTGGAATCTTGCAATTAAATTATAAAGATACTAGCTTTTACCCGCGGCTTCGCTCCAGTCACAAAAGGATAAAAAGCCAATGTGAAATATACCAATACACACAGCGCCATCTATACCAATACTTTTGTTTTCCCTCGGGAATATCACATTTTTCAGGGATAAAAAGTACCCTATTATTAAATCTGGACTTGTAACTTTACGTCTGCGAAATTTCAAAGCAATCTGTTTAGTAGTTACGGCGTTAAAGTGGAACAAACAAACAAACAAACAAACAAACAAACTCACTTTCCGATTTATAATATAAGTAAGGAAGTAAGGATGTTCAACCGATTAAGCTTAAATTGTGTACATACGTAGGTTCTGTATAAGCTTCTAAAATCAATTTTTGATTATTTTCTTCATGTCCTACAGGCGTTACAGTCGTTAAGAAGTAACCGTCCAAGTTTGAGTGAGGAGCAGGCGACTGCAGTATTGAATAGATTGTCAGAACCGGCTGGAGATGGATATATCAGGTAAACTCATTGTCATGCTCACTCAAAGGTCTCATTGGCGGTGGCGCGTGCAGTGGATCGCTCGATTCCCTACAATATGGTTGAGTTGGGCGGTGCTGGTGTACGTGTCATGTTCGTGAACGGGCACCGTCAATTGGGACTGGTCAGCTCCAGACTGTATTATTTATTTTGGGTTTCTTTTTCGATCTCTTTGACTGGATTTTAGTGTTACATTGTTCTTGCACAACCCAAACAACAAAACTATGTAACTAGAGAATTGTATTGTGAACCTGATTGAAGAAGTCAGATCAATCAATATTAATTTATAATTACTATTGTGAGACATACTAAATTAAGTAAAATCGCGGGTTACTCACGTGAATATACTGAGAAAATCTCTACTAGTTTCGAACCATAGAATGGTTCTTCCTCATGAGCAGCGTGCGCGGTCGCGGCGACGTCGCGCAGCTCACTAGTATAGATTTTCTCAGTATATTCACGTGAGTAACCCGCGATTTTACTCAATTTAATATTAATTTAATTTTCAATATTATTATTTTTTTCAGATACACGTACGACTTACGCATAAAATTGATGCATGGACCAGCATTTTCGCCGGAACACGTTAAAAAATTATTTACCAGTCATGATACACCGATATTAACAGTTGCATGTCAAAATTCCATAGATAAGGAACTTTTTCGAAACACGGCCTTTTTGCTCGACGAGGCTGAATATCCTTCGAACAATTTCCGTTTTAGATCTGTGGTCGGAGACCATGACGTTCATATTTCGAATCCTGAAAGAGTGGCTGTCTATGTCAGCCAGTTCCTACTCTATGGTTTGGAGGGCATGGACAATAAGGCTAAGTTATGATTTTGTTTATGACAGCGGTGAAAAATAAATAAATAGATAGGAAAATATTATGGAGGAAGGTTATCCCTTTGTCTTTTGAAACACCGGCTCCCGGTATAAAATACATTATACGCAACTTTCAACAGACAAGAGGATATTGTGTTTAAACGTCACGGTACTGTCAATAGGAGCCGAGCAGAGTGGGTGAAACCACGCGGATATAGGTTAGATATAGTCAGAATTTCAATTAAATTCCAGATTTGACAATATCTACTGTCATTTTGTGAAATAATGATACCATATATAATAGTGTAGTGATGCACACCAAAATCGATAAACAATCAGTGTGTGTTTTTCATAATAAATATTACAGAAAGTGACAAGATAGCGATAGCGATGACGGCGACAATTTATAAAATAACTTATTACCGTAATACATCTATCTGTTTTATTTGTCATGTTCCTTCATGATTACATTTTTTTATTTATATCACCCACATTATAAAAGAAAAGTCTCAGATCGTTAATTAATCGTCAAAACTAAACTATCGGTTCAGAAATATTTAATTTCCTGATATACTTAGTTTTCGAGAGTAAAATTATAAACGTGAAGAATCGATCCAGAAATATTGCATTTCCATATCGAATAATTTCGCAACATCACTATTTAGTACTTGTCATAACATTGCAACACTGAAATTGTCAAATCTGGAATCGAATTAAAATTCCGAGTATAGTGTAATAATAGTTACAGTCAGCGAAACGAAAAACGGTTTCATGTTTATCTGCGTTTTCGGAAGCGTTCCCATTACACTCTGTAGTCTGTACAAATTGCAGCTTTATCAATTACAACGAACATTCAATTAAATTAGGCCTAGCCCAAAGAGTTAGATGGGGCCCAATAGGGCCGATGCCGATTCGGAGTCGCGGAGAACCTAACGGGTAACCGGGGCTCCGGCTCGACGTGCAGGATAAGGAACGGGGTGGTTTTTAGTCAGTAAGAGTCTGACACTCCCTCCCTCCTCACCCAGGCGGGAAAAGTCATTCGATGATTTTTCCCCCTTAAAAAATAGGCTGAAGAGTTTCGAGCTGACTTGAACAGTATCAAGCTCGGGATAGAGTCACAATAATGTAAGGTATTTTTACAAGAAAAATGGTTCGAGTATTTTAATATTGTTATTTAAAATATCAATGAGGGCTAACGACTTTCTGCTCAATGGTCAAATATTGAACATCCAATGTTGTGAATATTAACCTATAGGGTACTTTCCTTAATCAAAAATAAATTATATCGACTGTTAAATAAAATGAAGGTATGAAAAAAATAATCACACTCATTAATTTTGATTTTATGAACAAACTTAGTTTTAGTATTTTTCTAGCAATTTTTTAAGAAATGAGTATCGTGTTTTTCGGTAAAAAAACGTGACGTCACAATACACAATCTCGTACAAAATTCATAGAAAACTGACGTTTTTGACAGTTCGACCCAATTTCCTATGGGACGAAGAATGACGGGAGCGCACTAGCGCCATCTATTGAGCAGAAATACGATATGCCCCATTATACCAACTTAGTGCTATTAAAAAGTCAATTATTAAGATAAAATATAATCTTTTTATTAGTACATAGAAGGAATTGCTTAATTTTATGAAACTATTTATATACGGTGTAGAAATATGTTTGTCTGTATTTACGTCCCTTATTTTTATTGGGTTACGGATTTTACCTCTACTGTATTTAAAAATAAATTATACATTTTGTAACGTAACATGACGCCTTTTATTATTAGTCTTTTGCTATATTTTACCTGACCCAGGTATCAAACTAGAGATTTTTTAAGTTCTACTAGTGAAAAGGGGGTGTTATAATAGGGTAGATGACTAATTTTTATTTTAATCTCCGTCTGGTAGATTATATAAAAACATTAGACACGTGTTTTTTATTTTTTACAGAAACGAATACTTTCGACGATATATTGATTTGAAATATCGCGTGACGTCACTTCTATGTACATTTTATACGTAGAAATGACGTTTTACCCCCCACTCCTAAACTTTGATTCGTTATATCTGAGTATCATTTTATCATACAACAAATTAAAAAAATACTTGTTTAATATTTTTTCATTAGGTGCCTAACTGACGGACTAATAACATTTTTTATATACATACCCGGTCATCATCCCTAATATTAGTAAAATTAATATCTGTACTTATCCTTTCGAAAAATAAAAGGCATGATGTTATTTTATATATATAAAAGGAATATGAATTAGATGTAAGATTACAAATATTTTGTTTGTAAATATATATAAATGTTTTTTCTTAATAGTCTATTAATCATTTTTAATTATATTTTTTACTAAAATTAAGCTATGTAAGACAGATGACGTCTGTCGCCGTGCTGTTACGGAGTTTGGTTTTAGATTATTGTAACAAGTGAAACAAGTGTATTTATTTCTGCAAATAGGCTACATTGAAATTACTTGAAATATTGAAAATATCACATATTGAAAATAAACTTGATTTATTCATTTAAAAGACATTTATTGTCCAAAATACAGAATGGGAGGTAATTATAAATAAAGCCGCAATGACGTATAATAAAAAAAATCAACACTAGATGGGTACTTTTCTTAAACAAAAATAAATTATTTCGATGTTTAATACAATAAAATATTTAAAAATAATCACACTTTCATTAATTGATTTTATGACCAACTTAATTTTAGTATTTTTCCAGCAAATTCTTAAGAAATAAGTATGCTGTTTGACGCTAAAAAAACGTGACGTCACAATACACAATCTCGTACAAAATTCATAGAACACTCTCGTTTTTGACAGTTCGAAAAAAAGTATTGAATTTGACTAGTTGGCAAGTACACAATTGCAGAGCATTCCAACTCAGATTCACGTTATGAACACACATGAAAGGATCGTTATTGTTTTATATACTTAATGTATAATTCCGATATAACAGCACCCTTCAACTTAATACTTAGCATTAGAACCGGATTTAACCCTTTGAGAACCGTCATTATAGACACAAATAAAGAACAATAGGTTGCGGTCACCGGTGTCCTCGCGGTGTTTGACAGTTTAAACCCACAGAGCGCCCTAGTAAAGCATTTCATTGGCGCCCGTAATTTTTTTTTTTGGCGCCACTGTTCATACTTGCTTCTCGCGACGCCTCTGTGACCTGGCGCCCTTGACACTTGTCTTGTTTATCGTAATGATAATACGGCTCTGGTTAGCATCATATTTAGGGCCGATTATTCCAACGCCAGATAAATGTGAAGTGAGGAATATTTGACAATACGGTAGTTGACAACTAGTCAAATTTAATACTTTTATCGAAACGTCAAAAACGATACTGTTCAATGAATTTTGTACGAAATACTAGCTTATGACGTCATCATATTTTCACGTCAAATAGCACACTTATATCTGAAGAAAATGCAAGAATAAATCGAAAATTAAGTATATCGGCAAATCAATGAATGAAACTGTAACTATTTTTCAATATTTAATTGGATTGAAAAATCAAAATAATTTATTTTTGACCTAGGAAACTACCCAATTCTTCCACCCAGAAAACTGTCGACAATTTTATTCTACAGTTAAAAATTAACTGAGGGTAAATTTATTTAGAGTTGGAAAAATCGACCCTAACTGCGATACTCAGAGTCATTTAATACTATTCCTTAGAACGATTTTGTTCCGAAAACGATTGCTAAGGACTGGATTAGTAGCCATTATGACTGAGTGTAGCGGTCAACCTCTCCTTTTCCGTAAATTCTCCTAATTACATGTTACTCTTTATTGCATTGACATAAAGTCGAGAATCCCATTAAAAAAATAGGTTAATCTGCTGGCTATTGTACTAACTAGAAGAAGACAATAAAATCATTCCCTTGTCAATGCATTTTGTACTTAAAATAGATATTTATAAATGTGTTTTTTAATAAAATGTGTATTTTAAAACCTGTTTAAATTATTCCTTTTTAATCAGTTTGAATTATTAATTTTTCATCTATCTTTTTAACATTTTTAATACGACTATAAATGCCGTTTCGTCCCAGTAAGATGTAGATTGTAGATAAAGTCATGTTTTTACACTTATTTCCTACAAGCTTTGTATTATATTTTTACTTAAACGATTTTTAATAAATTTGATATGAAATATCTACTATAATGTTGTTTTTTTATCATAATATCTTTGATTTAATATTTTCCTTTATTACCAAAAGAGTATAATTTATTGCAGTTGAATCAAAAACATTGGTATCGAATTGGGAACTTCAAAAATCTAATAAATACCGCTGCATCTCATAATCTTAAAATAGCGCACTGATAACTAATGATAATTCTACTAGAATCTCGTGGAATCTAGATTATCTACTAATTGGAAAAAATGCGTTTTTGCTTTGCCGCTTATTACGATTTTTATTTATTTTGACATATTGTGTTTATGAAGTTAGTAACAGATCACGCATGTAAGAAGAATTGAGTATTTAACTTAATGCTTCGCTAATTGAAATCATTTTATGACATAGACATTAATTATTGAATTCTTCCAATTTTTAAATTAGGTACACGAAAATTGACGAAACGATTTAGAATACTTCCTGTGCTACTGCGAAGGTAAGGTCATATAATAATAAAGACGATCTTCATAAACAACACTGCGAATATCATCATAATGTCAAAATATTTCGAAGATTTCCGCTGTTCCAGGAAAATGTAAAAATACAAATAATAAAACTATTATATAATTATATACAACGAGAAATTAGTTAAGAAACGTAAGATTTATTTATTATTTCGTTTACACTACATCATATCTTCACGAATTTGTCTTTTTTGTACAAAATATGAGTAACATATCACCGGCTATTATTTTTGTTCTTTTTTCTTTTATAGCTAATTTTTTGTGTAATTTCAGATGGCATTGTTTATGAAACAAGATTTTACACCTCCTCTACTGTCTAGGAGGTGGTTTGCAGTTAAATTCAGGCCCAATATGGTAAGTAAAACTGGTGAAATTAGTACTTCATTTTCTAGTTTAATATTCACTGAAATTCTATTAAAGATGTTGTAATATGAATGTTGTATTACTACTACTAGTCCTAGAGTTACGACTAGAAAGTTGCAAGTAATATTCTTATCGCCAATTCGGTAATATAGTAATAAAAACAAGAAATATCATATTTATTAACATGTATTGGATCAATTGAATGTAACAATGGTCCCAGCTTTGTCTGCTGTTGTGAATTTGCAGTCTGAAATGGTTTACCACACTTATATGGCAATGGGCTCACCTCTTTTTACATGGGACTCATAACATAAATAGTGAAATGTGGGTGTTACATTGTACAGTTGCATTAAGTACCGTAATGTGCCTTTCTGCCTACCCTTTGAGGGACAAATGGCGTGAGGTTATTTATGGATTTCCTAATCTTGCGAGCACCAATATTCCTAATATTAAAATATACAATTTTACGTCCACAGCTCCTATACAGTCGCGAGAACATAATCCTGATTCTTGAAAGCGGCCTCCTGTTCCGAGAAGACAGTGTGGATGTGGAACAAGAGGCTCCGGCTCCTGAGGATGTTTGGCAGTATATTGGAGGCGGGAAGAATGGGTGGATGACCAGGGGAGAACGAGTAGCGGGGATTACTGGTGTCCTTGCTGCGGTTATGATGTTTCCGCCGAGAGAGTAAGTTTATGTTTTTATAATAACTATCGTGAGACATACTAAATTACCTACAATCGCGGGTTACTCACGTGAGTATACTGAGAAAAGCTCTACTAGTTTCGAATAACAGCTCAGTGAGCTGTGCGACGTCGCTGCGACTGGGCACGCTGCTCATGGGAAAGAACCCCTCTGTGGAGTAAGTTTAATTGAGACTAGCTGTTACCGAATTATAATGAAGACGCTTGGACCGATTTCAAAAATTCTTTTTTTTTATTTAAAAGAGTAATTTTGTCTTTTGATGACGGCACACTTCTAACCTATCAGTGGGTGTGTGAGGTATAAGTTGGTATGACCAATAATAGTTACTTTTTTCTTCTTAGTTTTTATTTTTCGTTTATTTTTAGTTTTTTGAAGTCGGTTTTTTTAAACACATTTTTTTATTTTTGTTCTTTTGTTGTATTTATGGAATAACATACATATAAATATCATCATACATATAAATATTCTTCATCACTAGCATATAGGACATCTTTATTTTAATGGGATAAGCCAGTAAACGAACAGACTGATCACCTGATGGTATACAATCATAAGCGTCACCCATGGACACCCGAAACACCAGAGACGTTACAAGTGCGATACCGGCCTTTTGGTGTTTAGGAATATGAGGTTTATTGGGGATTCGGGGATTGGGGCCTCCGGTAATCTCACTCACACGACGAAACTCAACGCAAGTGGTATTTCACGTCGGTTTTCTGTGAGGCCATGTTATCACTCCGGTCGAGCCGGCCCATTCGTGCCGAAGCATGGCTCTCCCACACTTGAAGTAATAATCCTTATATCCTTATACTATTATAAATGGGAAAGTGAGTTTGTTTGTTTGTTCCGCTTTCACGCCGTAACTACTAAACCGATTGCTTTGAATTTTTGCAGACGTAAAATTAGAAGTCCGGATTAAATAATAGGGTACTTTTTATCCCGAAAAATTTTGGTATTCCCGCGGGAAAACGAAATTCTTGGTATAGATGGCGCTGTGTGTATTGGTATATGTCACTTAGGCTACTTTTATCCTTTTGTAAAAGCTAGTTATTAATAAGTTATTTTTATCATCCAGTCTACAACGCTCGTCCCTCATAAAGCTGGCTGTATACGCGTCCCTGCCGGTGGCGCTCCGCTGGTGTCATCGCACCCGCTGTAGAGGCTCCCTGCCAGCTCTCCTCTCCATCATGAGGGAATACCTAGCTCTCGCGAGGAGGACGGCCGCCTGCCTCAAGGAGTACGCTGCTCTACATGCCCAAATGTAAGTGGTGATAGAAATATTAATCACCAAGTTGTACTTGTTTGGCACGCTTTGGCTCAAAGCTGATTTAGCTTCCAGCTCATGTCTATTAAAGTTTTTTAGAACGTGATTTGCGCTAATCCCCACACTTGGTAAATGAAATGGGGATTGCAGAAAATTGAGAAAATGATGTCGTTCGTCCTTTTCCAGTTTACTGTATGTATGATATGGGTTTCACCATAATCCCCACAGTTGGCAAACATTGTGGGGGATTAAGGAAACTAATCAATTATGTTATCTTAATTCCAGAGGCTCGCTAACTTCAGTGATAGAGTCCACTCACACTCTACTATGCCGACAACAGAGCGAACTCTCAGTGTTACTCTCTCGCGCTTCGTCTGCTGTACTGGGGAACGCTCCATGGCTCCGAGCTGATGTAGCTTGGGAGGCAGTTCAGAATCAGACTTGCGATAATCTGATGGTGAGTTTTCCAAAAACTTAATACTTTTCAATATTTTTTCGGTGTCAACAGACATATAACATCACCTTTTATCCCCGAAGAGGTAGGCATAGGTACGCATTACGGCACTTAATCATCAATAGCCTATAAATGCCCACTGCTGAGCAAAGCCTCTTCTCACACGGAGAAGGTGAGCATTAATCACCACGCTTGCTCAATGCGGGTTGGCGATTACAAACTTATAATTAGAAATTATAAGTCCAGGTTTCCTCACGATGTTTTCCTTCACCGTTTGTCAGTGGTGTCTAAAAAATCCTATAAAGTACATATGACTCGGAAAAAGTCACATTGGTACTTGTCGTTGGTAGGTTTCGAACCAGCACCCTTACGTATGAGAAGTGCGTCATAAACCTCCGGGCCACCACGACGTTACGGCAGTTATTGCCACTGTATATATAACACCCACTACCCACCCACTCTCAGTACCTCGAAACTAGTAGAGCTTTTCTCAGTACCTATATTCACGTGAGTAACCTCCGATTATTAGTTAACTAGCGACCCGCCCCGGCTTCGCACGCGCAATATGCATTAATTATACATATATTATAAACCTTCTTGAATCACTCTATCTATTAAAAAAAACCGCATCAAAATCCGTTGCGTAGTTTCAAAGATTTAAGCATACATACATAGGGTCAGAGAAAGCGACTTTGTTTTATACTATGTAGTGATTTAGTACAAAAGTATTAGACGTTCAATATCTGACAGCTGCAGTCTGGACAAACCAGCTCTTCCTACATTACCAAAAATAATGTTGCCCCATTAGCTCTTTCCACCCCGGTAACTTTTTTTATGGGGGGAAAATCATCGAATGACTTCTCCCGCCTGGATGAGGCGGGAGGGAGTGTCAGACTCTTACTGACTAAAAACCACCCCGTTCCTTCTCCTGCACTTTAAGCCGGAGCCCCGGTAACCCGTTAAGTCCTCCGCGGCTTCGTATCGGCATCAGCCCTATTGGGCCTGATGGCTCATTTAGGGGCGCCAATGTGATAAGGCCTATTCCTGACACCGTGATACTACTGTGCATTACCCCCCAAAGGTCGACAACGCATTTGTAACGCGTCTGGTGTTGCGGGTGTCCATGGGCGACGCCGATTACTTATTAGGTGATCCGTCTGCTGGTTTACCGGCTTATCCCATCCTGGCGACAGATCGATCTGATATTTGGAACACACTCTTAATCTTGATGACCATACAATATAATACATTTATGATAATATCACGTTAAACGCCATGGGGGTCACCGGTGACCGACGTTAGCGGAGGATTTACCTTCAGCAGTTTTTTATTGGCAGTCAAAGGCATATCCGAGATTGCCGTCGATACAAAATGGCAAATATGGCAATAGGCTCACCCCTATTACATGGAACTCATAACATAAATAGTGAAAAGTGGGTGTTACATTGTACAATGGCATTAAGTGCCGTAATGTGCACCTCTGCCTATCCCTTCGGGGATAAAAGGCGTAATGTTATGTTGTGAAATTAACAGGCTTGATAAAGCAGTCATTAGAATGGGCAAAGTATTACTAGCATTTTAAAAATTCTCAGTAGTAGCACGAAGTATGAAATTGTGCTCAGTATATAGCAATAGACTCACCCCCTATTACATGGGACTCGTAACATAAATAGTGAAAAGTGGGTGTTACTTTGTGTGAATTTCTGCCTATCCCCTTAGGGATAAAAGGCGTGATGTTATATTATGTTATGTTATGTAGAATGGTTTAACAAAAAAATATTCTAATTTGTAATTTATAATTGTTTCAGAAAATACACCACGCCTTCCTAGTTGTCCAATCGACCTTTTTAAAGCATATAGCGATGGCACACTACGTACCTCCGGTTTCAGCGCAACGCTCCTACAAGAACCATAATGAAAGAATATACTGGCTCCATACAATCGTTATACCACATGCGACCGAACAATTCCATAATAATTACGAATCTTTAGAAAGAATGTATCGATTACTCAAAAATTCAGGTACTAAAGACAATGAAACTAAAAAATTAGGCTCAGCTTTTAACACTAATTGGTTGTATTCAGATATACATACAGGTATAGCTAAATCCTGCCTAGAATTAAAACTAGCTTTAAATAAATCGAACAGTTTAGATGTTTTTCTTGATTCCTGCGCTCTTAATAAGCAGGAAATCGATTTAGAAGTCCTTAATCGAGATATTGATGATGTAATCGATAGTTTAACGAAATGTCTAAAAACGGTACAAAGTTCCCAAATGAGGTTGAAGAAAATTCAAAATAAGAACGTTAATGACGTAGAGTATGACGATAAAGAGGTTATGGTGGAAAACGCGGGAATTTTGAAAATAGAAGATAGGGAACCAGAGAGTAAGGATGAAGTTTTTTATTTTGTTAAGACTGACGATGATGTAAATGATGTTCAGCCAGCGGATGATCTTACGACGGCGCCGGGGAAGATAGAAAAAGAAACGAGTAAAATAGTTTTAAGTGAATTAAAGAGGAAATTGGGGAAAAGAGAGGATGCGATGAGGGAAAGAGAGAGGCAAGCCCTTGCTAAAACAATGCCAGAATTAAAAAACATACCAGAATTTCCCCGCCAAATAAAACCAGAAGAATTCATAGAGAGAAAAGGTTTTATAAGTAAACTAAAGAATAGACCAGTAAAAAGACCTGGTTTAAGAATAAAAATTAAGAAAAATAAAACTAAAGATAAGAAATACAAGTTCAAACTGTCGAAATACTCTAAAGAGACGGACATAAGTGGCGTCATCTATGAAGCGAACGCGAAACTAAATGTGAAAAGTAAAATTTTGACTGTGAATTTTTTGAACGACTATTACGTGACGAAATGGTGTAAATATATCGAGGAAAATAGGCCTGTCAGTGTGTCAAGTACGTTGTCAGATTATAGCGATATGGAACAAAGTACAGCCAACAAGATAAACCCACAACACGAGCTACGGTTTACAAAAAAAGACTTGGAACTATCACCATCAACATCTGACAGTGAATTCGATTATACAAAAGAAAAACAGAACGCCTTACTGCACGACGTCCGTCGCCATAGAGCCGTTAGAAAAAAGAATCACCCAAACCATAGACCGGTCATAGATAATGTAGATGAGAGTTTGAAGCCCATAGAGTATAGATTTGGGACGGGAATGGCTATGGCTTCGGTGTTGCAAGTTAATAAATCTTTGCCTCATTTTATTCCTGATGAAGAAGTTTTTATTGGGGATGGGCAAGTGTCTGCTGATAGTGGAAATGACGAGGATGCATAACGGTCACAACATCTCATCAACAGCCTATAAATGCCCACTGCTGACCAAAGGCCTCTTCTCACAGAAGGTTTGAGCATTAATCACCACGCTTGCTCAATGCGGGTTGGCGATTTCAAACGTATAATTAGAAATTATAAGCCCAGGTTTCCTCACGATGTTCTCCTTCACAGTTTATCAGTGGTGTCTAAATAATCTTAGAAAATACATATAACTCGGAAATAGTCACATTTGTACTTGCCGTTGGTAGGTTTCGACGCCGCGTACCTACTCATGCATGAGAAGCGGGTGTCTTAAACATCCGGGCCACCACGACATCCGGACATAATGGTTATCAATTCATCAACATATCAGAAAAATTGTACTTTACCTGACCTGGAATTCGAACCGGTGACCATTTGTTCGGCAGTTAGACTTGCTGCCATTTGGTAGAAGCATAATAATATTTTCATTTCAAAAAGTCGTTCATCAAATTGCTAGTGTCACCACCTATCAAGTGGTTTCAGATTGGATTTTGGAGTAAAATAGCATCGAACTATTGAATATTTATTCCAAAAAAAGTGATTGTAACCCCTTCTCTTAACTCAGGAATCGAATCTAAGAACCAGTTGTTCGCTAGTAACAAACTAACTTTGCATTTATGATTGTATTTGCTGTAATTATTTAATTATTTTAATTGAAACTGATTCATGATTTACTTAATTAAAATTACTACTCACAAAAACCGTGTATTCACGTAAATTTTTCGAGGATGCTCAACTGGTTTCAAGTCATATCGGGGCCCATAATCTCAATGCGAATCATTAGTTGCAACATATATACATTAACTCACGCCTGCCTCCTATGAGGGCAGGCAGAGACTGTGGAATGCACATTGCTGCGATCTTTACCATTATAATTGTTGTCATATTGTTATCTATAAGATTATAAGCTCCGGTAATGGCTTGAAAGTTGTCGAACTATCTCGAATTGTTACGTGAGTCAGCCGTATAATATTTTAAAAATAATTTTCTAATGTATAATTATGTATGTCTCAAAATAATATATTTTTTATTAACATTTTGTTTAAATTATATATTAATACTGTGATTTCCAATATATGATTAATTATTTCATGTTAATGTACATTTATTGTAATTAGATATTATATTATAATTATAATTTAATTATAATGTGTAGGTAATTAATAAAAGAATGCTTTTTTAATTGTTGTTTCTTTTTATTGCGTAATATAATTTTATAACATAAAATAACATCACGCTTTTTATGTAGGCAATGTACACCACATTATGCCATTATGATTTAATGACAAAGGAAGGTATGTTGAGGTAGATATTTGAGAAATACAAATATTCCCAACAACAGTTGAGTGAGCACCTGCTTGTGGCCTCTGAGCTGATGGATTTGGTGAAGAACAACGCAGAAAGGTATGAATCCTTAACAAATAACCTAGAATGCGGTTTTGTGAATCAACCTCAGACCCCGGAGACTTCACTTTTGCTACCTACTCAAGTTGCAATAAATACCCTACCAAATAATACAACAAATTATAAAACACATGTCTACAGTGATGAATTAGGTTATGGATTTGGCCAAATGCTGTATGGTCATCTTAATCAAAGTTTTATAAACAACAGTTACCACAACATGAGTTATAAAAATATTATTAAACAAATAACTCATGCAGTTTTAGTTTTAGGTATATTCCGGCAAGGAAAAAGCACAACAATTATACACAGGGGCAGCACAATCTACAATTATTTTATATTAACATTCAGGGCTGCTCCTCAAAAGTCTTTGAACTACAGATGTTTCTGGAAAAGACTAAATTTGATGTAATTTGTTAGTTCACCATTAATAATCTAGCACTTAATGAGAAAAAAACAAATGTCGACGAGACAGTATTTTTAGGCATTACGTTAGACAATAGGCTACAATGGGGTCCGCATATAAAGGCGCTTTCGGGGAGATTGAGCTCAGCTGCTTTTGCATTTAGGCAGATTAGACAGCTCACAGACGTAGATACAGCTAGGCTTGTCTATTTTAGTTATTTCCACAGCATTATGTCGTACGGCATTTTGTTGTGGGGTCGAGCTGCAGAAATAGAATCAATATTTATTCTACAAAAGCGGGCTATCCGAGCAATATATAACTTACGCCGTTGCGAATCGCTGACAGAATTGTTTAAAACGATAAATATTTTAACGGTGCCCTGTCAATATATATATGAAAATATAATGTATGTAAGGAAAAATAGGCAATTGTTTGAAAAAAGAAGCGATACTTAGACACAATTTTAATACTAGAGGCAAAAATAAGTTAGCTATACCGCAATTCAGACTGTCCAAAGTACAGAAATCCTTTATGGGGTTAGGTATTAAATGCTATAATAAAATACCAAATAGCATACTAGATCTCAATGAAAGTAAATTTAAACATATATTAAGCGCGAATTATGTAATCAAGCTTACTACACACTGACAGATTATCTTGAAGATAAGAATGCTTGGCAGCATATTGGTTCGGCTCCGCTGGACAATACTCAAATGTAGTCAGTAGTTAAATTCCAATAGCAGGTAATATAATACATAATTTAATACTTTAATACTAATGAGACAATCTAGTTTCCTTATGGCATCGAGCATTTCTTTCTTTATTGAAACAAAGAGTTTCCTTTTTCTTGTTTAGAAGCACTATTTCTATGGATTGTCAGTATGCATATGTGAGCACCATGTTGGACTTAAGATTTTTATTTTTTTTATTTTTGTAAGTTATTAGTATAATGCGTCAAGCGTGTCTTTGCATTGTTCTTACATATGCGTACAGTATTGAAATATGTATCAGAGACATTAGTAGTGGGGATTCGCCGGTTCTGGCTCACGCATTAGACCAGCCAGAATGCAAGCAGAATGCGAATCAGTCGCACCAATCCAAAAAAAAAGGTTTTGGCATGCTCTGATCACGTTTCTGCAATCCTTTTTAGCGTACGATGCGTGGTTCTGGAGTTATGCAAATCAATTATTGTTATCTCATTCATTTCCGGTGGTCCTGCACCCTCATCAACGCTCCATTGTTCGCCTAGTCCTTTCTTATCTATACTTCGAATACCCTCTTATCTATTACTCATTGTTAACCCTCATTATGTTTGATTTCCTATGTCATCAATAAAACACAACCATTCATTTTTAATTTTTTATTTCATTACTTTTTTCTACAAAATATGAGTGGAACATCTCATCACAAAAATATCATTGTACAGTGTGTTCCCTGTAAATATGTTCGTAAAACTATGCATTGAACATCCCTGAAACTTAAATAGCAAATACATTAAGCAATATTCACCACAAACTGAAGTCCAATCATTCTGAATCCTATCAACATTCCAGTCCCATCTCTTACAATTCCTTTTCAAAAACTGAAGTTGATATCGCTCAGGTGTTCGTCCATATGAATCAAAATATTGACCGATGCCATTCGCATCGATATGTACAGCTACCCAGTCTGAGCCTGGTTTATCTTCCGCATCCAAATTGCATATTATATACGTTGGTACATGTGTATACATAGGTAGTCTATTAGCAGCAAAAACATTATTTTGTAGACTGGGGTGAATCTTTTTCATATGTTTTTTTAATTCTAGTGTATCCATTGTATTACTGTTAGCAGTTTATTGCAGTACCAATCTATTCAATGGTTGTCATAGGAATGTTCAATTCTGTTGCGACGTGAGATAAGTTTGTTGATTCATAGAGTTCCGTTGTACTTAGGAATTTGCTTTAGATAAGAATGGTGGTCATAGGAATTTTCAATTATCGTGATTTGTAAATATTAAGTCGCCTTTTTTATGGGAGTCACAAAACAGGTTCATGCCTGTTGCGATGTAAGATAAGTTTGTTGACTCATAGAGTTTCGTTGGTAGTTTGGAATTTGCTTCAGATAAGAATGGTGCTATATAAGATCGAACAGTTGCAGTCATGCAGTCAGTCTATGGTCGTTTGACCACAGTGGATTGTATACGTCTACCAATACTACGTTTGTGTTACCTACTTCAACGCATCAATGATCATGGAGGTAAGTGTTTATTCTATTGACAAACTTACTTGTATTTCTGTTGTTGTGTTCCTAACGTGTGTGTGCGTGTGAGTCGGATTAAGTGTAAACAAATTGATATTAACGTGATAACTCTGTTGTTGCAGAGATCATTCAGCTTCGTCGACGATAATGAAAATACCTATAAACAGTATTACTACTCGCCACTCTCTCCCCAACACGAAGAAGAGAGTGATGACATCGTCGTTAATAACACAGACGATGGAGGAAAAAGGAAATCGAAACCGATTGATCAAGTTTTTGAAGTGGCAACAAAAATAAAAATGAAGAAGCTGCTATCGTCGACTGTGGCACGAGCTGCTAAAGATGGCGTATCATACATCTCTACAAATTCTGACGACGGAGACCAAGAGACGCATCTCATACAAATTGAAATGTATGATATGAAGAAACTATCCAAGATTCCTACTAGTGATCACTGGAAGCATTACAATATTAAGCACAAAATTAAGGATAGATAAACTAATGAGTATATTAACTAATGATATTTTCCATTTACTTAAAGTACTTCTGTGCACTCATTAGATTTTAAATGACTTTCCTAATGCTTTGCTAGACTATAAATATTGGACATTATTTGAAATTGGGTATCAGTTGCTCTACCAACACTTAACTGTTATTTACTGTGCTACATACTTTCTTCTTTATTGTAAAGATGGAAAACTTCAGTGAAATATGCACTAGTGCTTTCTTTTCCACACCCATCGAGGAGAATATAGAACAATCCAACAGCAAATTCAATCAGGAGCTGTCTAAAGTTTGTGATGAATTAGAGAAGCGTGAACTGTTCGATTCATCGTATGATGATGAGTTGTTTAATCAATGTTTGATGGTTGAAACAACGTTGATGTAAGTATTAGAAGTACAAACTCAATAAGAAATATTATTGTAGT